GAGAAATATTTGAATGTGAAAAATGCGATCATCCTGGCTTCATTAGTTCAAAGTGAGACTGTGTTCGGTAGTCCTTTTGAGACGGGCAGAAGAGCCGAGTGGAAAAACCCCACAGATTTCACACTTTGATGAGAACATTTCTTCACAAACTTTCTGTGTAAGTGTGTGCTCGGTGCTTTTTTAGCGGAGATCTCTGTGGTGATCTGTGACCGGGAGGAGAAGGCGGCATCTCTGCTAGAGAACAAGGAGAACGGCACGACTCCGAAGCTGTCCTGCCTCGTTCTCTTTAACGACTTCAGCCAGGCCTTTGTGGAGAGGGCGAAGAGCTGTGAGGTGGAGGTTTTAAAGCTGGAGCAGCTCATGGTGAGTTGGGGTGGGGGGCGTAGCCATTTAAATGTAGCCCCTTTTAATCGACTCATCGTTGCTGATGTGCAAATTGATACGAGCAACTCCTCTTTGTCCACATCTTAGGACATCGGTAGGAGGAACCTCAAAGATCCTGTGGTGAGTTTGTCATCTCTCAGAGCTGCTCACGTAAAAGGCTGATCTCCCCCTTCCTAAACACTGGCATGACAGCTCTATCGTCGCTCCTGTCCAATAGGATATCATTAACACTCACTCATAAGCAGGGGCTTAAATTAAGAGCGGAGGAAGTCCGTTGTCATGTTCTCATATTTTATTGCTGCCCTCTGTAGCCGCCCCAGCCTCAGGATCTGGCCGTGGTTTGCTTCACCAGTGGAACCACAGGTACCGTCTGATCTCATAAGCCTCTCCGTAATTATCCTTCACTCACATCATTAGAGAAATGCCCTTCAGTGCCCACTAACAACCACTCTTTATGGCACCGCTGCAGTTTCCTTTGCTGCGCAGGGGCACTGCAATAATGTTTTGTTTATTTACCCAGGGAAGCCCAAGGGAGCCATGATCACCCACGGCAACATCGCCTCCAACACTTCCTCTGTCATTAAGATCCTGGAGGTCTGTCTACACTTCCACCTCGTTGTCTAATTGAGAACAGCCTCACAGCTACCGTCGCTTCCCATTTGCTTGTGTCTGCATGTCTCCAAACTGTCCCCCTCCCCGCTGTGTCTAATGGTATGATTAATTGGGTGTTTGATTGCTCCTGTCGCTGCGAGGTACTTTAACTAATTGCCCCTGTATAAAGATTCTGCCATACAACATGTTTGATTGCCTGCGAGGCTTCGCCGTATGCCGCTGCCTCAACCTAATCTGTCCCCTGTGCTTTTTTTGCTCATTTCATTTCTCGTTTTTCTCTCAGGGCTCGTTTGAGATCCAGCAAGACGACGTGTCGATCTCTTACCTGCCGCTTGCCCACATGTTTGAGAGAATGATTCAGGTAGTTGATCCTCTTCTCACATGCTTTTCTGTCTTTCTTTCCTACTTTTTTTGTGTATGAACCCTAAATTAAATCCGTTTCTATTGCAGGTCTCTATGTTCTGCTACGGGGCCCGAGTAGGATTTTACCAGGGGGACATTTCTCTTCTTATGGATGACATTAAAACTCTGAAGCCTACCTTCTTTCCCGTCGTGCCTCGTTTACTCAATCGCATCTATGACAAGGTCAGCAAACGCATTACCCGCTCCTCATTTTCTTTTACAAGGTGCAAAGTGCAGCAGATCCACCCGTTAGTAAAAATAATGCACCAGTATAGCTCACTGGCATCAGCAGGCAGCCCGGGTGCCGTAAGGCCATTGCATGGGCCTGGGTTTAATCCGTCATGAGGCTATTTTCTGCCTGCCTTCCCACTGTCCTCTCTCCACTGTTGTATTGCAATAAAACTGAAAAGCAAAAAACCCCATAAAATAGACTGATTTAAATCTAGATTGATCTTCCTTTTAAGGTAACGTTCTCGTGCACGTCCTCCAGTGTGACTTGTTCTTTTTTAGATCACGCCTTGGTGTGGTTAGAAGTCCCGTTAAACCCACAACACTTGCGTGCTCAGTGATGTCAGCACATACCTCAAATTTGCGCAGAGAATTCACCTCAGTTCTGTTTTATTTATATAGCACAATAGATGTCACGTCAAAGCCCTTTTTAGTTTAAGGCAAAGGCCCTACGACAGAAATACTAAGACTGAGCACTTTGCATATGTAACAAGGGGAAAACGCTCCGAACAGGACTTCTGCTGACTTATCTAAAAATAGCCAATCCAATATTTTTTACCTTGTATTAAGAAGGCGGCCATAATCCTGGGTGTGTTTCTGTTTTTTGTACATTCTTGCCAATTTTTTACATAGATCCTGGGTTCGGTGACCTCACCGTTTCGAAGAGCTCTGCTCAACTACGCTGTGAAAAGAAAGCAGGCGGAGCTCAGCAGCGGGGTTGTACGTAACAACAGCCTGTGGGACAAACTGGTGTTCAACAAGATCCAGGTCAGTGGCTGACAGTGTGGATCATATACTGTCTCAGCCTGTTGCTGCTGTTTACATTCATATGTAGGTTACTCATCCATATGCTTGGCTCTGCAGTGGCCTCCTCTGAAATCAGCCCACAGAACATCTTTTCTTCTCTAAACTTCACTATTAAGTGCCATATTTTCTGAAAATCCCTGACTTTGCAGTTGTCCTCGTCTGTGTTTTGTAGCACTTAACACGGTGGTACATGTAGACAAGCAGCCCTGCAAATAATCAACAAATTTGTATCCAAACTTTACAAGAGAGGCACAACTATTCCAGCAATTGGTGCCAAAATCACCCGGAGCATATTGGCCCTGTGGGAGTGTATTGGAGAAGCACGCGTGCAGGCAAACAAGGACTGAAAGATTTTGGCTTGGTGTGATCAATACAGATGGGAAAATATGACCAAGGTTGAATATGATTTAAAATGGGAATGAGCTCGCATCCACAATATGATTGTGTTTGAACTGCTTTGCATAAATGCTTCACCGTAGGAACTCTTATTTTTTATTTATTTATTTTTTTCAGGAGAGTTTAGGGGGTAATCTGAGGTTTGCATTGACCGCTTCGGCACCGATCTCCCCAGCAGTGCTGTCCTTCCTCAGAGCCACTCTGGGGTGTCTGATATTTGAGGGCTACGGACAGACTGAGTGCACAGCGGGCTGCACGTTCTCTATGCCAGGGGACTGTAGCACAGGTAGGAAACGCTCTTCTACTGTCAGGTGTTCAGGATGGATGCTGTTGTGGTTTCTCCTGTTAACAGCAGGGGTATGTTTGTGTCAGGTCATGTTGGTGCTCCTTTGCCCTGCGCCATGGTGAAGGTGGTGGACATCCCAGAGATGAATTACTATGCCGAGAACGGAGCGGGAGAGGTCAGCCACGCAAAGATATGAACACACTTTTACCTATCAGCGGATGTTGTGTGGTGACTTCTCAATGCTTTGTCCCGTTAAGATTTGTATTCGCGGCCCCAGCGTGTTCAGAGGCTACCTGAGGGATCCAGAGAAGACGGCTGAAGCCCTGGACAGAGACGGCTGGCTGCACAGCGGGGACGTGGGCCAGTGGCTTCCAGTAAGATTAGACACACTAACTAGCCTGTATGAGTCAAGTGAGTTTGTGTTACCACACTTTTTTTTTGTCAGAATGGGACCCTGCGCATCATTGATAGAAAAAAGCACATCTTCAAGCTGGCACAAGGAGAATACATCGCTCCGGAGAAGATAGAAAACGTCTACATGCGTTGTGTCCCTGTACTCCAGGTGTTTGTGCATGGAGACAGTTTACAGGTACGGCACATTTTAGCTTTCTTATCCAAAGCGAAGTGTTCTCAGAGGCACGGTTCGATGTTTCATTTTGTCTTGCATTTCTTATCAGTCTTATTTAATAGGGATAGTTGTCCCTGACCCAGAGGTGTTTGTTGACTGGGCCAAGGATCGGGGATTTGTGGGGTCCTACGAGGAGCTGTGCCAAAATCCTGTAGGTCTAATTCTGGAATATAACTTTCATCTGATTAAAGTCCTCACAGCAGGATTAAATGGAAACTGGTTCTGTCTTCAACAGGATGTTAAGAAGGCAGTTTTAGAGGACATGAACGCCGTGGGGAGGGAAGCACGGCTGAATTCGTTTGAACAAGTGAGCAAACTCATCGAGGTTCAAACGCACAAGTTACAAAGTGGCTGAACTTAACTGATTTCGATGCTTCACCTTTCTGTCTCAGGTGAAGGACCTTTACCTGCATCCAGAGATGTTTAGTGTCGCCAACGGCCTTCTCACGCCCACCCTGAAAAGCAGGCGCGCAGACATCCGCAGACACTTTCAGGAACAGATTTCAAGCATGTACAGCAAGAAGGCATACTAACTCGACTCAGTAACTCGCAGACGCGACACCTGTGGGTCAGGGGTGTCCAACAAAAGAACAAAAACGGGACCTGGGAGTGAATATCCTGCAGTGCCTCATCTCAAACACTACATTTCGTTATATCTGGAATATTATTTTGTTTTCCAGAAATTTGTCATCCACCTGTGACCACATCTCACTCTTAATTCCAAACAAGGAAATTAAGTGAGTGGATCCATATTTGCCTTCCAGTCATTGTCACTAATGAGATTTTACATGGACATTATCATTGTTTAGTTGCATAGAGGAGAAGCACGGACGATATTAGGAAGAACTGATATTAACGCTGATCCTTTTATTTACACTGCACTGTTGCTTTCCCAAGCAAAGATTTTGAAAGGGACTCTTTATGTGCACTTATGGCATTGGTCCTCCTAGACGTTGCATTAACTGTAGGTTTGTATTTTATGGTTGTTGGGTCTTTGCATCACTGTCACATAAGCTTCTGATGAATATGTTTCATCTTAGTGACTACTTCAAACCACTGACTTCACCTCAAGTTAAACAATTAATATGAATGAGCGGTGAATGGGGGGGAAAAATGATTTGTAAACAGGAATTTACTAATGCCAGTAAATAAAGATTAGTAATTGACGTGTTTGCATCATTCAGTTCATAAAAACTCAGGCATGTGCAGAAGCACACGCACACAAACTCATGAAGACAACAGCAAAATAGTCACTGGTTGCTTTTCTTGCATTTAGTTTATTGCATGATGATAATAATGAAGCAGAAAATATCATCCGACGTTATTTAAAAACTTACATAAAACCCAATCTGATCACAAAGTATTCATTTTGGTATATTTAAAAAAAAAATCAACCATGACTATAACTTAAACTTAGAAAAGCACCTTCATTCATCCAGTTATTGGCGTGTAATCAGACAGTCTGCATTGCAGAACACAAAGACGAGCAACCGGCTAAGCATTTCCTTCAGTAATTACACAATAAAAAGCCACAAAAAAAATAAATAGTCAACATACTTGTAACTTCAAATTCACTAATGAGTAACATTCAGTGTGTGTTTACATTACTATGTAGTGTAGTTATCATGCCAAGGCTCTACCTGATGGAAAGTGGAAACAAAGGCATGTGATGAGAGCATGATTTGGTCCAAAAATAAGACTATAAAACATTTGTCTTCCAACCCTGATGTAGATGATACAGAGAAAAATACTTTTTTAAGGCTGCCAACAATGTGTGAGATTCTTTGCTAACACACACTCTAACCAACAATAGAACAAAGGATGGATGGTGTGAACAAAAGGAAAATATGGGTCACTTTATTTCCACTAGAGGGCGCACCAGCCTTTGATTTTTTCTTTCTTTCTTACTTGTGGGGTTTAAAAAGAAAACAAACCTGGATATGTCTGAAGCCTGAGTAGTCGACCTTTCAACACCACTCCGTGTTACACCGTTTTTTGTTTTTTTTATGTTATATCCAAAGTCAGACATGTTATCACAGGTGAGCTAATGTGTTCTGATGAACCCCAATAAAAAGCCCTCACACAGAATGGCACAGAGCTAAACTCACAGATTACCAGAAAAGACCAAAATTGAGAGATTTTTTTTAAACCTACACTACATTACATAACACCTTCCAGTGTAATTTCAAAGTTGGATAATAAAACTATATTTCACACGCTGCTGCCAACAAGGCAGATGTGACTAATAGAAACATTTCCTTGCTCACTTTACACATTAGAAACAAATGGTTATAGATACCTCTGAAACCATGAAGCGTAACCTTGTTAATTAGTTCTGACAAGATCTGTCTGATTCCTTTACTAAAAGAAAAGAAAAATAAACGACAACATATTGGCTTATAATGTTGCACTTGGCTGATGGCTTAGTTAATGTGGCATTCAGCTGCTTTGAGTTGCTGAGATGATGAAAGATTAGGGTGTAGTGCAAGAGCAATTGGGGGTGGGGATGAGGCCGCAAGGAAACAAATGGATAATCAGGTTTAGGTCACTGCTGTCCGTTTGAACTCTGGAGGAGCTTGAAGAGAGCGCAATCCATTCAGAGAGGCATGAAAAGAGCCCGTTTTTGTATTTTCCTCACTCAGTCGTCGGCGACAATGGACAGAGCACGCAACTCGGTGAGCTTGGCCTCTGTCTCCCTCTCCCTCTGCTCGTCAGTCAACCCCGCCTGGTCGATCTGGTCTGTTAACTCGCTGAAAATCTTGTACATTTCGGTGAAATAGACCACCTGGTGGGTAGAGAAGGAAAAATAAAAACGTAAGTCTGTGATGGCAGGGGAAAAGAATATCTGTCCTCTGATGAAAATGGGAACAGGTCGATCCACAGACCTCTCAGGAAACACCAGAATCCAAAATCTGAACACCAAATACAGTCTAATCGTGTTTCTACTTACAAGTCTGAAGCTGCTGTTCTCATACTACTTCAACCCTGCTAATGAGAAGTGACTTGAGAGGAGAATGGGGAGCCCACAGATATCAAACAACTCTGACAAAGCCCCAAAACCCAGCACTTCAGTGGGTAGTGACCCTGCTTTTCTCTCCCAATCTGAACAAGAGATAGAGAGTGTTCACTGAAAGCTTTCTTGACACTTCCCACCCCTGCTTCTTCCCCTTAGTTCATGAGTCAGGCTCCCTAGAGAGTTGCTTTGATGATTAATAGACTTTAATCACATTACAAGACTCCAGAAGAGTGGGCAGAGAATGAAAGTACTGGGAAATACAACCCCTAGAAACCCACACACACATCTCAATATTTATTCATGCAGCGATGCATACGATGCCATGCTCCTTAAGGGGGGGGGGACACAGACTTCTCTAAAATTGCACGTGTTCCCTTGCAACAAAACCAACTGAGAGACCCGTGGGAAAAGTTTACTGTTTCACTAAAAGGGTCACAACAGAACGAGAATTTTGCCATAAGCAGACCAGACACTGCTTCTAAACCACCTTATACAAGCCTTTTTAAGTGCTCCGCCTGAAAGACCTTTGCATGTTTATACCAATATGTGCCACCTAAACCACATGAGTGGGCTATAAGTATTGGGTTACTGCTGCTTGTGGGGGTAAAGCGGATATGTTTTTTTCCCCAAAAGTGGCTTGTTGAAAGGGCCATCGGAAATGTCCATATGAACTGTGATGATAATGTACACCAGATCAGTGTCTAGGCGCCCTCTGTAGCAAAGACTACCATTACAATTAGTCAAGTCACCACGAGGAGTAAACGCCGGCTCACGCAGCTGACCACCTACCCAAAAAAAAAGAAGCAGCTTGGGGTAAAACAGAGCCATTTTAACATACCATACTCCCAGCTGCTTAATATTTACATGGAGAGGTCACACTTTGACCTTTGACAACAAAATGAATAATTTAAGTTGGATTCGATTCAGTAAACACAGCATCCACTGTAAGAGAAGCAACTAAAAAAAAAAAGATGAATAAATGAAGACAATGCCTTCATCATCATCTGTAGAAACTGACAGGTCAGGTGGTGTCTCCCTCTGACAGTTGCTGGACAGGACTTGTTATAGTGAAACTGAAGCCTCACAACAAAGACTCCCTTTATTCTTTTTCTTTCTGCTGCTGGACGCTGAGCAGCAACAAGCGGCTGGGAGAAAAGGGTGTGGAGGACCAAATCAAGCACATGCAACAAGCACTGGGGACGAGGTCCGCTGACCACCCACACATGGCTGTGCAAATGTGAAAACGTTCATTCATGTGTGTGAATTATATGAATAAATATAAAGCTGCAAGAATGACATGGCTAGCGTGCCTAATGGGACCTCTTGCACCAGACAAAAACAGGTAAGATTTATTTAATGCTTCAAGATAAAAGATGTGGGGAAATATTATATGTCTGCTAATTTGCTAAGTTCAAAGTGCATCACAGAACTCCATAATTGTCATTAGGTCTGGGATAATCTAGTTTACTTATTAGGATTGTGCCAGTGGCTGTCCCAAGGAGGAAATGACATGGCCAGGCAGGTCTGGGGTTAGTGAGGGGGACATAGTGGCGCTAACTTGAGACACCCAGCTGCTTTAAGAGAAGCTTCAGGTTAGAGGAAGGCTTGCAGGGCTGCAGTGGAGCCAGACAGATGAGGCCTTCCTCAGCTAAACACAGCAGCGTGGGCCGTCGCTGAGGGTTAATCACATTAGAGCAACGTTGAGGGAGACAGACTGCCTAGGTTATACACACCCTTCATCAGATATTTTATGCACTGTTTAACCGACGCTCAGAGAGTGGAGCAGTGGGTGGGTGGGAGGGAGGGTGGTTGTCTGCAGCTGTGAGAGGTTCGTTGGGTGTGCACTTAAAGGTGATGGAGGTCACCAACCTGTGCCCGGATGAGAGCCTCGAAGCTGGGCTGGAAGTAGTCGATGCGGCTTTGGTAGAACTTGGGCATCTCGTCCAGGAGCTGCTTGTTCTTGGCCTCGAAGTCATCTTTGACCGGTCGGAGTTCCTCTTTTGCCTGCGATGTCGGAGAGAGAGAGCAAAACAAAAGAACTGGTCACTGAGGGTTCAGTTCTGACTTTGAGTTACATTCTTTCATTTCACTGCGATGCAATACACACTACACATTAAGGATTCGTTCGCTAAAATAAGCTTAAGGAGCTACAGATTAATACCTACAAAGCGAAACAAGTTAGTCTGAAGTGAATTCACTTCTTTAGCCATCATTTGTCTTCTTCTCTTATTGTTCTGAAAGATATTTGCTTAATTCCCACGGAGAAGCAGTGCAAAAAAAAGGCTGTAATCACGACCAAAGTGAGGAGGAGTGGGTAATGTGGGCAGACTTGGCTGTGAGTGGACTCCAGCACCACTGATCTGTGTGTGAATGTATTAGTGGGTAGTCTACTGTAGGCATGGAGTTATGGAATGCACAATGAATAAGTGTGAGAGGGTGAGAATTTTTATTAAGGGGAAGGGGGAGTTGCTATATTCAAACTGAAACATATTGTCTTTCAGCTGCATTATGATATGCTCTCTTTACTTTAGTTTTATTTACACATGCCAGCTGTAACTGAAATGGCGTGCAAGTGTTTTGTCAGGATCATTTCTTTAAGTGCACAGGGACTCAGAGGGCATGGATGTAGGGGCCTCTTCAAGGCTTTGTTCCCCTGACAGTGCTTTTCTCAATGTGTGTGGGTGGCTCACCATGTGAGGATGTGTTAGAAGCAATAGCATAGGCAACACTGCAGCACTATCTGTGAATGTGTGCTTCTGTAGTGGCCTCATGGTGTGTGCGTGTGTGTGTATATGTGTATGTGTGTGTCTACAATTCTCAATTACGTGCCTGTAGATGTGCAGCAGTGCCTTTTTGAAAAGGCACTACTTGAGAGCCTGGTAGCTTGCGTGGGTGAAGGAGCGCACATGTACAGTATGCATGTGCTCAACTATTTTTGTTCATATCCAGTCAGCATTTGTGTCTTTTTCCACCTATTGTGCTCTATTCACAATACGGACAGCATGTAAGAGCAAGTGAACTCTGCTCCTGTGCAGTTGGAGGGAGAGCTCGAGTGGATCGACACGTGCGCCGACGCGAGCTTTAAAACTGACGCTACCTGATGCAGTTTGACCATCACGGGCCCCGTTTTTTCTTTCTCTTCGTATTTCTCCACTTTGGCTTGCAACCGCTTGTAGTCCTGCAGCGTCTGTTCCCTACGTTTCACTGCCATGTTAAGGCTGGGGAAGACACTACTGTACCTGAAAAACACCAGCACACAGAAAACCAGGTTACTGAACACAACATGCATGCGCACCGTGTGAATCCATGCAACGAAAGAAAAAAAGATCCCAGACATACATATCAAACTTTCCTCTTTTTTCCCTGAGAGAAAGTGAAGTTACTAAAAATACTGAAACAACTTTCCCGTCTCCATGTAATTTGTAGACATGCACTGTGCATTGCATCGTATCTTAATAAAAGTCATTATGATTTAATAAAATCCCGCTCCTCAACATCTTATTGTAGCGGTACTCTCAAACCCCAGAGGACAGCTCTGCATTAAGCTTCCTCTAATCTATTATCTAATTACTGTAGTTCAGAATGGCATGAAACAATTCATTTTGTGACAATTATCATATTCCAAATGAAAATATATTCTTGCAACAAGAATCCAAGTCTTCAGCACTAAAAATAGGAAAACATTCATCTGTAACTTAGCAACAGGAATCGGAGCTTCATCTTGGGACTTGTTGCACTGCTTTTGTGTCTGTTTTTAATAGGGAACGGGAAAACTGTATACAGAACATGTCTAACCTAATAATAAAACTATAGAAATTTTCAAGTTAACATGTCTGAAAGTTAGACTGTAACATTAACATTATTTCTTTAAACTCAGGTTAGATCTGGCTAATGATTTATAACAAATGGTATAGCTTTAACCAAAATATTGAACGCCTGAATAAGAAAAGGAACATTTTTCAACTTTCTAAAATGTAAACACAAAGCACTGACTTTGTTTTTCAAAAACAGGCCACAAGATTAGTCACGCAGGTGCATACCAGATGTGAGTCAGCAATAAAAACAATCGTAATAAAGAATTAGATATAGCCTTTTCTGAATGACTCATTTAAAGCAATTTATCAAGTGTGTAGGCACACTACTACAATACTTTATTGTGTGCGCCTCGCCCCATAGTGTTATTAGCCACAAAATGTGTGGGCTTCATGATTTACGTTCCTCTCCATGCCAACCCTTGCCCTGTTCTGTGTGGCGGATGAGAGAACCCGAGAGTTTGTTATGAAATCCTGGATTACAACTGCGTTTGCCCGACGTGCACCTTACTACAGGCCAGATGGGGGAGTGGTGCGAACTCCATGTCAGACAAGCAGAGATTGTTTCCGACAGGAAGTTAAGCAAGGAGTGGTCTTGTAGTGTTTCAGTGACATCAACGAGCTCAGCCCAACCCAGCAGCCCACACTCCACCGCTATTTATAAAATACCACTCTGGCCCAGTTTACGGCAGGGGTGGATGCCGATCCTCAAATCTACTATCTGCTCCAGTGTACGCATATTTGAAGTGCCAAGGGATTATGCAACTGCCCTCCAGGCATGACTGCTTTCCAATGCAGTCCTACGGGCTGATGACAACACAGCAGCAAACCAGCTTTCAGACAACACAAAGGCTGGATTCTAGTTCACCTGACAGCATGGTGCAATTTCCTCATGACACACCACGGTGGCCTGCTGTTTGCGCGCTAAAAGGGGACAACGCTGTCTGCAACTACTATGTTTGAGCACAGGGAGACTTCAGGGCCAATGCTATCCTTGTGCTGGAGGAGGAGAAAAAGAGCTAGACACAAAGCCAACTACTTGTTAACCCATTAGTGTCACTTCCACACTGAGCGCTGAAGTTTCAGTGTTACATTCGGTTACTGTGACTCAACGGTACACTACCCTCCCCCACATGAGAACCTGAATGTGCTTATGCATACACTGTAATAACAGTTTTTGGTTTTTTTAAAGAAAAGAAATGTCCAGGCCCTGGATGTTTCCCTCGATATCCTGGCCTTGGTTGGATAACTACCGGTCAGCCTGCGAGGTCTGTACCTGCGGTGAGCCTAGTCTGGGTGATTTCTTAAGATGGTTGAGGGCTGCAAAGGGGCCAAGGATACACCACTGTCCACGTGACAGGTCAGGGTGTGGTTAAAAAAAAAAAAAAGGGCTGGATGGAAATAGCATCTGGAGCAGAGAGTGTGTTTATGAGCCGAGGCCAATCCACATACAGGCCAGCCTGACCCAGCAGCCAAGCCCAAGTCTGGTCTAGACACCCTCAGTCTAGCAGGCTGGCTGTCACTTTTGACTATGACCATCACATAACTCACTACTGAAAAAAAAATCAGTTTAAAACACACCACTAAAAATATGGGAACGGGACCTGTTTATGTGTAAATTACCACCTTTGTTCGTCGTGGTCTCAGAAGAAAAATTAGGGTCACATCACGTGGCACCTTCATTTAAAATATGCTTGGTGTGAAAGTGAAATAACTACCACCTGTTGTATAAATGGTTTAAAAGCAGTAGACCATGAGAATGTCTGTGACGTAAATGCTAGCAACATCTCCTTAGTCTCCAACAAAAAAAAACAAAAAGCGTGCAAAGAAAGAGTGTGATCTGCTGTGACTTGCCTAGTGCTTTAAAGCCCACATAACTCACGCAGCCTCAGTGCGTGAAACACCAGATAAGATGGTAAAAAAACAAACATCCTTTTTACAAAAAAACAATCCCCCCCTCAAAAAATAAAAATAAAAAGCCTGCATCAGCCCCAGAGCTAAGGTCAACAACTCCCATTGGCTCCAAACCCCACAACCTGCTCTGAGGGCAGCGTGTTCCTCTGATTGAGAGGGATGAAGGTGGTTTGTCCAGTCCTGGCTCAACCCAGGGCAGAGGTCTCAAAACAGGCTTGACTTCTATTTCACCCAAAAGAGCAACGGAGCAAAAAGGGCTAGGTTACAAGGCCCAGATAACACACATGCCTCAATGCCCACGCACTCCCCTCCCCTCGCATAAACATAGTGATGTCATTCAGTGACCCCGCAGAGTGGATGAAACGCACGTCTGGGCCTGAGAGAGAGGAGACACTGAACGCAGGATGGGGGCAGAGTAGAGGGGGGCTGCTTTTTCGTTTGTTTATTGTGCGTTTTACCACACTAAGCATTAAGAATGGATGCCAAAATTTGAAATAGCAATCACATGGACACAATCATGTAGCTGACACACACACACACACACACACACACACACACACACACACACACACACACACACACACACACACACACACACACACACACACACACACACACAATCCATTGAAAGTCTTCCATTAACATAACGTTCTCCTTTTCAACTCTTCTCTAATTGTCTTTACAATGACACAAGTTCACCAGAAGAGTATTTTGAGACAAGAAAAACAGTTACAAATATTCATTAGTGAGAGGACTAATGGAATCTTAATGGAAGCTTTAAAGTATAGCAGCTTGTGCGTCTTGGTTTTCTATAGACAACACTTTGATAAACTAATAAGTAATAGCGTTGCGTTTTTAAGAAGGAAAAAGTAAACAGAAAGGTCAGTTTAGTTTGGCATTAAAATTTGTTTATGAACTCACTTCCTCTGTTCTGTTTTAGACTCATGTAAATGCCTAACTTTATGATCTTAAATACCATCTTTGTGAGACAGCGCCCCCTCTAAAATCGGAGCTGGTGTTTGTGTACGTCGGTATGTTTGTGTGAGAGCGTGCAGTGTCCTGAGACATTTCTCCTCCTGAACCAATCCGCAGCTCTGGGCCCAGGAAGCTGGGCCCTTTGCCATATTCTGAGCCTGCCCACACGTCCGCCTGCCGCCCACCAGGAAGAGGAAATTAGAACCATTCCATCCTGTCATTGCTCCGCCACCAGAGCGCACGAGGAAGAGAGGGGTTGACACACGCGCGCTCACACACACACACACACACACACACACACACACACACACACACACACACACACACACACACACACACACACACACACACACACACACACGCTGACCTGACCTATCCATATTTTGATGGAGTATTCTCTTCACATTAGTTACTTTACAAAACGAGTGTCTCACGAGGGGAGAAAGTTGAACACAAATTTATAGAAATCTATACAAGCAGTATGCACATGCTCTCTTTCACAGTATTTAATCTCCTGGGAGGAGCCAGGAGGAGGAAGAAAACCTTAACAAGCGCTCCGGAAGACGGGTGGGATTGTCCAGCCACTCCCTTCAGTACCTCTGCTTTGCGCGTGTGTGCGTGTGTGTGCAAAGTGAGGCTTAAGGAATGGAATAGCATTCACTGCCTCCTCAAATGGGGGCGAGTATTAGGAACGAAGACCAAATAAACTTTCTTCCAGACACTACCAGCACAGCAGCCCTGTTAACTCCCAGTTCATTTTTATAATGCGTATTACTACACTGGAGGCCTTGCTAAGGTCCTGCACTGCAGCTATTCTTTCCACTCAGTTAGTGAGATATGCAGAGCAAGGTTAAATAGTAAAAACGACACGAGGCACTGGGCTTTTATCGCTCCACAGTCACATATGGAATTTAAGACACAACTGAGCTAAATCGCTTTTACCATACTTCACACGAAAAGTTCACGATCTGGCTCTCCTAAAAATGCAAATATTGCAGACTAAAACTATTTGACCGCGGCCTGTTGCAGATTCAGATTTAAAGCTGGACATTTAACACAGAAGCAGCACAAGAAACTGACACTTACTTTTTCAGAGGGTCGACAACAGTCTTCTGGATCTGGTTCACCTGTAAAAGTAAATAAAATAAAAAGCTGTTAACACAAGCACTGCTCACCTTTCTAACAAATGAAGAGACATTACAAATTGTTATTCACTGTCAAATTGAGTTACATCAGAAGTGAAGTCGGAACCAAATAGCTTCTACATCTCTTGCTCATTAGCTTCAATGTAAAGTCGCAGCACAAACACCAACAATTGTGTATATTTCAAACAGAGCACATATGAAAAAAGGGGAAGGGGAAGGGGGGGGGGGGCTTGCAAAGAAACTTTCATGACGTTGACTCTTTTATTGTACACAAGCCCCGAGGAGAAACCCCTGAATATTCATTGAGCTTGCGATACAAAAGGATGGAACTGTCAGGGGACGGACATGAAAGCAAAGCCCAAATGATTTCCTGTGGAGGGTGGGCTGCCATACAAGATGAAAGTTCTTTACAAACAAACATTTTAACAATAACAGTTTATATTTTCCTGCATTCTCCTTCTGTTTGGCAGAACCGACAGGGGAAGGAAGGAGGGGAAGGGGGGGGGTGTTAAATGGAAGTAAACGAACATCTCATCTCGAGGCCTCCAGCCTCAGAACCAAGTCTCGTCGAGAGAAGTTGGAGCACAATTAATAAAGTTTCTAGAGTAATTTACATTGCAGATTCAAAATGACTGCTGCTACTAGATCTGCAAGCGTAACACGGCTAAGTTAACCAGGCAATCGAGTCAAGTGGAGAGAACACGCTTGGAACAGAGAAGGAGAATTTAAAGCAGGGAGATGTGAAGTGACAGCTGCATGAGAACAGTGAGCAGCTCCACTAATCATATGCTCACTTGCTATTGGAAGGACAGTCAATCACACAACAACAAGGAAGCAAGATCGCAGCTGTGCTTTGTAAAAATGCCCTGACCATCTACGAGAACATACAGCAACACTCGCTGCTTCACACAGGCAGATTTCCAAGTACAAAATGGTTGATTGTGGTTTGAGGGAAAACACAGAACCAATAACAAATAAGTACATGGGAATTCACATTGTCTTTGTTTTACATATTCACACCATCTCCCCCTCCCCAGCTCGAGCGGTGCCGCTGCTTCTAAGGTGAGAGCATGCAGCGAGGAGGGAGAAGAACAGCGGCAGATTTGCTTAAGCATGCTGGTGCCCTCTACCCTCTGCCCCTTCCCACAGAGAGGGGGGGCAGAGCTATTCCTTGGAGGCCCCGCAGAGCCTGAGGCCGGCGCTCTAGCAGCAGTCTCCATCAGTGAGTCACGGAGCAGAGGCCATCCCGGCACACAGGCCTCCCAAAAATACACACAGATCGCAGAGGAAATCAATATCCCTCCAAACGGAGCATCCTCTACTGTGCTGCCGCCATCTACACTGGGGCTCAGCTTCGGCAGCAGTGTGCCGGCGGGGCTGTGCGCCCTCCTCAGCCCCAGAAATAAACACACAGACCTGGGCCACTGCTGCCTTCATTATCGCTGCACGTTTTATCTGCTGGCTCTCTCACTTGTGGGCCCTGCGGCAGAACATCTCGTCTCAACACGGAGAAGAGCAAAGGGTGGATGCTTTTGTGTCTGTTTTGCTGGAGCAATAAGGTTTTGCTGCTGTTGCCGTCAGAATCAACAGCCAGCTTAAAGGAAGAAGTTAAGAGTGGTGTTCTAGTGCTGTGCTGGATTTTTAAACACCTAGCAAAACCTAGAGGTGATGCACACAACAGACTGACCAGAAAGTACTCACAATCACTATTTTGCCTCTAGCTCACTTGTAGCCACTCTACAAAGGAAGCCACACAGCTCAGCCCAAAGCTGGAAGTGAACATTGTGTTAAGGCAAAGATTTTATTTAGAAGGACTGAGAGCAGTGGAGAGACTATCAGGTGTGACCTAGCTGTCAAAAGCCACTCTGAATAAAAGTGTGTTTGAAAAAAACAACCAAACAAGCACAAAGAAAAATCTATCCAGCTGCTTTACAAGCGAAAAAATGTCTGGATCTAAGTGAGTGGATCAATCTTTTTCAAACAAGTGACAGTCACAGAGACAAATAGGAAGGCTACACAGACAGTGAACAATACTATACATTATAAAGGCATTAACTACAAGTGACTTCTTTAAAAAAAAAACAGATTAAAAGGAAGAATGGCTGTTTCTTATTCATTCACACTCAAGTGTGTGTCGTAGGGTTTTTTCCCCTTCAGAATGAAAAAATAAACTGAGTGAAAATGGGAAAAAAAAATTCAAATTTGATATTGAAAAAAAATCTAAAGAATGCAAAAGTACTTCACCCTGACAGCAGGAGTGCTCTCCTGAACACTCAACCAAGCCAAGTCCTGGAACATATGCACCCTGGGTCACAAACCCACACGCTCAGTCCAACCTACATTTTACTTTGTCTAGTCACTCAAAATGGCTCCTGTAAAATTTGATGAGCCGTGAGCAAAGCAAGTCTGAAAGACTTAAAAGCTGAAGAATCAAGGAAAGGAAAGGAAAATAAATGACAGCTGCAGAATATCTGCTTGGATGCTGTCTTGTGCTTTTAGTATGTTTTATTCTCAAAACAATAATACTGAGTTTGCCTGAGTAGCACGGAAGTATATCCTAACAAGTAAAGCCAGGAGACAAGACCAGCGACACTTAATCTCATATACAAACACTGAACATTAGGATGACATTTATTTACCAGCTCAAGACAGTATGCTCATTTAAAGTGAGGACTTTTGTCAGTCGTCACTTTAATTTCTGGAACATGGACATTGCTTCACTTATATACACTGAGGAAGGTTACAGCTTGATTATCTATGGAAACCGAGTCCAGCCCCTGAGGTTTCCCAGAAAATATGAAATCAACTCTTCAATGCTCAATATGTATATTTCCAGGTGACAGATGGCCTGTTATGCCTGAAATACTTATACTACAGCTTTACCATGGAATAACAACATTACCCACCGTTTGCAAAGGAATTCATTTTCTCCCCCTTGTTGGATCATTGTTGTGGGAAAGGTTATGAAATCATTTTGGTTCACAGCAAAATATGAAAAGAAAGGGGAATATTTTTAAGGCAGCAAATGTGAAAAGCCTAGAACACCTACTAGCGGGGCAATGAGTCAAGAAAACACAGATGGAAAAAAGTCAATCGGTATATGCCTTAGTGTGATCTCCTATGTTCTCTCCTGTATTTTTTTCCTCTTTTCAAACCCTCCACAGCGTAGTGCCTTGAGGATCCACACATGCAGTGCCACTATGATTCACATTATAACTACCTGTGGCGATGATTCTAATCAAAAAGTGAAGGGCGCCCAGCAAATAATATGAAGAGCCCTGACAGCCAGAGAGATCTTCACAGAGTACAGCTGTGGAAGAGCGAGCAAGAATACGCTGTACCGCTTACAGTTCTGGAAAGACAGACATGCCGGTCTGTCTGCTGCTGGCCCTTAGGACAAAACATACAAGAATAATAAGAAAAAAGAAATGGTTTCCCAAATGCAAGCGCTGCAAATATCTAAGCAGAAAGAAAAATATGTAAAATATGATATGAAATGTACATGAAGGACGGGACAAGTGTTGGGAGGATTTCAGGTTGGGTTTGCCAGAAGTACGGCTCTGAGAGGTTTACAGTGTTCAAGCTGATCATAGGTACTCCACCCCGAGGGAGGAATAAAGTTCCTGTAATCCATCAAGAACATATTGGGTGACCTACCAATGCAAAAAAAAAAAATGTTTTTACCTGAAGCCAAATGTATTAGGAAGTAATGCAAGAAATACAACAGACCTCAGCACATAAGCTGTGAGTTACTCTTGTGAATTTTGTGGCAAGGCATGTTTTCCTCTTCAGAGAAGGCCCATCCATTGTATGAGTTATTTTAGACACCAGTGAGTCACAAATGCATCAATTTTCACAGCTGATAACCAGTAGCTTGAGCTTATAGAGGATCATACCACAGATGCTTTTCAAAAACAGCAGAAGGAAAGACATACGGATAGTTTTTAGTCCACAGGCAGCACAATATTGACAAATATGAAAACATGCATTTTCAAAAAAACAAAAACAAAAAAACAAACCCTTGTTTAGTGTCCTACTTTGCTTGTTAGAAACGGAATTTTTTCAAACGATTTGAAGAAAATCACTGTGTCAAAAAGCCAAAACAGAAAAAGAGCAATATAATAAAGATGCCAAGTGTGGGAAAGAGTCTTACCTTTTCTTGGTTGAAGGCATCCATCCTTCTCATGGCTGTATCTAAAGCAGTCATAGAGTCCAGGAAGGCCTGATCCTGCTCACACAGCGGGTTACTCAAGAGGTCTGCGGAAATCTTCACTGCTGCCTTAGACATGGCTGTCAGCCATGCAAATATGCATGCAACACACAAAGCAGAAAATACTATTAAAACACAGTTAACTTCGTGAAAACAGAAATACCGATTTTGTAAATGGTTACTGAAGATGTCTGCATCTACACATTTTAATCTAATTCCATGTAAGACTCTTACATTGTTCTGAAATTGTGGACGCAATTTTTGTGGATTAAACTGAAGCTTTAAGCGTTTCATCACTTTATATGAAGTAGGGTATTCAAAAGTGAGCCTGTCGGGAAGTGCACAACTCGAATGGCACAGTGCTGCCCCCATTGTAAAAATCTGAGGGGGTGGTGGGGCTGCCTGCCGCGCTGAATATTCACCAGTGCAACGAGAATTTTTTGCCATTTTTCTACACTGACAGCATCAATTACCGTTAATCTGCACTCGTGCCACTTTGTTTAGACACAGAGCATGTATCAGTATATGGCTTCACTGTCAAAACAAATGAGCTGCACTGAGGAGACACAAGCTGACGACAGGAGCTGCACTGAATATGGGCTTTACAGAGATTTGGAACAGTCATTGGTCATTTCACACTCCCCTGGGACCAATTTTCAACCAATCAATTATCACGGTGTAGCGTTTCTGCATCTCTCTCAGTTTGCACAAGTAATACATTGCTTGATCTGACAAACATTTTAATTACAGGGTCGTGAAAATCAAAAGGTGACCTGAGGGCTCGTTATTAGCAGTGAGGGAGAAGGTGAAATTCATGTCCTTTACAATTTCCTGAGGCAAGAGAAGTTAACATATTTTATTTGCCTTCTGTTATTTAGCCTAATTTGGCATGTGTACAGGAGCATCCCTTAAAAAGACATTACTGGCCCTCACCAGATGACTGTCAGCACGTTCGCTAGAGTGCTGCATATAAACACATTTGGCTTGATACAGAGAGAAGTGTATTAAATGCAGTGCTGACATGCAGAGTAGGTCCAGTTCTTTGTTTGGTAGCAGTTAGTGGAGATGGGACCTGTGCAACAGATGGAATCCATTAACGATAATGAGGCCCTGACAGCTATGACACTTTGATGATGCAGACATTCATATTGCAGAGCACAAAGGAGAGGAAATGAAGAAGTCTCTCACTGCTCCATCCGTCCCCGCTCTTCCACCCCCACAAGTGACTACTTACCACAGGCCATATCTACTACCACTTCCCAAATACAAAAACACAAAACCAGCAAATCGGCAAATAAATCTTTAGTAAACAAGAGTTTTGTGGCAGACAAATACATGGATAAATGATGGCAGAGATGGTAAACCAGGATCCCCAACTGAATATAGATCACATGGTCAAAAAACAAAAAACACACCTGCTATGACAGCTACAAAAGCCTAAAAAAGGAAATGATTAAGGTAGAGACTCACACACAATTGTTTCATGTCATATCATTTGGAGATCGAACACAGCACAGGAAAAAAAAAAGAAAAACACAGGCACCCAAACATCTTTCTGGCCCTGAAAAACATGCCAAGTAACATCAAGTATGTTGGTGAACAAGTGCTGATCAATGGCTCACCAGGCGGCAACGCCAAGTAAGTGACAGAACATACCTAAATCTGCCTCTGTGCTTTTCTTCATGTCTTTGTGAAGCTTTTTCGTCTGATCCTCCAGCCTGTGGGACAAGCAGAAGACTGATTATCAGAGCGCTTCTTGTCTCGTAGTACAGTAAAGAATCAGTTATCCTAACTTGGATTAATTAATAACCTATACTGAAGTCAAGATTTACTTTATGAGCTGTAGGCATGCATTAATACATCAGTCAAACGTTGGTATCTGCTAATGTGAGTCTGGTTTTACTGATACCTTCAGGTTTATCAATTGATATATGCTGTTTAAATGCTAAAAAATTGAAATCAAGGCCTGAACTTTTAAAAATTTTCCACTGTTACAAAAGTAGGAATGCATACTTTCAAATCGATTCATCCCTGAATCCCTCTGAACCCGTTCAGTTGGACAAAAACATTGACAAGGATAAAGAAAACACAAACCTCGAAAAAAGACATAAAACAATATGGATTAAGAAGGAATTACACATTCGACTGATTCCACATAAAATCTGTTAGCTAATTAACAACAGTGTGAATCCTTCAGTCAACTACATTTCCGCTCAAAAGCATTAACGTCTTCAATCATTCCACTGCACATATTCCATTGATGTGTGTTAAAAATGGCAATTACCAGACTATGGAGGCTGAAAACACATGCCATTCATTATATCAATTAAGGCAAACAAGGGGTTTAGAATCTCCCCTGAGACTACCTTCATAACACTACTCCTATTTGATGAAAAATGTGGTGCAGTCAGGTTTTGCTTCCATCCTTGTTTTTCAAGAACAATATTAAATAGGAAGTCAGTAACGGTAATCCCATTTTTGTGCATGTCCACAAGATATAAAGACACTAGCAGAACAAGTAGAGCTCTTTCAGAGCTGCAAACCAAAACTGGAAGTCAAGCGGCTCCAATTAAACGTTTTAGATTTTTTTTCGGTTTAGCAGCTGGGAAACAAAGAACGATTGAGGATACTCACAGGTACACTAACCAAATCTAAACTGTTAAACTGAAGGGTTTGAAAATGACTGCTGATTAAAAAGCAGCATTTACAGGACCGTAAAGAAAAGTTCAAGTCTCCCAAAATGCAACATACAGACAACTTTGGTTTTAGATTTTCATCTGCAAATGGATTTTCTTTTATTCTTTTGTTTGTTTATCCAAGAAAGGACAAATAGTAAAATTATTTTTTTATATATATATATTTTTAAACAGAACATGTTCTCTTTAAGCTTTTGTTTCTTTTGACGTTAAAGGATTTTATACTAAATCACCACAGACCAGATGGAGGTTGTTCCTAAAATGTCATTTGCAGTAAATGATGTAATTTCATCCCATACTGTTCACACCACGGGAAAGAAAAAAACAGTCTGTCAGAACAATCTCCACAGTAACTTCTTGTGTCCCTCTCACCAATTAGATAGAACTAGGTCTCACAAGCTATATTAGGCTTTCTCTAAATTAATGAAAATGCACGCTTATGTTTCAAATATCCAGAAACAGGCATTTCAAATTGTAGTAAATTTATCATCAATGCTTCAGGCAAGATTTGGAGAGTATCTAGTAATCAAGAGAGATTCTTCCTGTGTTCGTCTCACTACATTAAGTCAATTTTTAGCACATATTTGGACGAGGAGAGTCAGTGTGACAAGTTCAGGTCATCACAGTTTTCCTCTGTTGTTGAGAACATTTTTGCATCAATTAAACTCTGACGTGACATAAAATCTTCATATGATAACATTTTGTTGTTAGAGCCGCAACTTGATAACTGATTCTGACATTGTCATAAACATTTTGAAATTGTAATATGTTGTCAATCTTAGCATTTCTGTCTGAGATTACATAAAGTAGAGATATTTGACAACTCAAACTAAATGTTTAGACTGCAATACTAGACTAAGCAATACCAAGCAAAAATATAATATCAGGAAAATTAAAAAAAAAAAACATAATCCTGCCAGTCATGCATATTAGTTTGTAAGATAGTGGGTGAAAGTATCTTACTATGTAAACAAACCAGTGCGCTCTGAGCCCAGTACACTCAGAATATATTCTTGTGATGGTTATTTGTGCATGTGAAAGTCATGTTCCAGACACTACCACCTACTTAAAAATACTGCTGCATTTTCCCTTCTCTGTCAGAACTGATGGTGAGAGAGAGCCATCCTGGATGAGTGCCATGCCAGCGTGGAGTCTCTTCCCAAAAGGTGCTAATAGAGTAACCTACTGGAACAGCTGCTGCTCCTTGTACCTATGCCCCAAACCTTCTACCCATGCAGCCACAGCCGCCATGCCACACAGGGTGGTGAAAACGAAAGGCATTCAAGACTTTTAAAGAAAATTGCTGAATATATCACTTATACATTGCAACATGACCATTTTACTCTGATTTGCTTTCCGGCTCATTGCTTTTCACACAAGACTGAGGTTAGAAACTGCAATTCCATGTAAATCACTCTAAAACCAAGAATTGTACCAGACTAAATCAAATTTTAATACCTCTAGACATGACTAATTTAAGTTTGTCACTGAAATAGTTTAACTTTTTTCACATAGACTTGCACAGCCGTATATTAGGACATTTGGATTTCCTATACTGCTATTACAAAATATTGATCTTAAAAAGTGATCAAATAACATCGACAAAGAAAAAGTAAAACACTGTGATCCATATTGGTTAAGTTGTGGAATTTCACTTACTGTTCCACAATAGTGTTTAAATTTTGTCTGAACCCACAAGTCAATACCTACTTATACTTAACACATATGAAGTACAAATATGCTTCATATATAGCGGAAGGAATAAGATGATCTTGTGTTAAATGCTTTATCAGCTAGCACTTTAAAGCCACTTTTACACTACATGCAGATAACAAAGCAATGATATTTCAGGCTCAGAGGAAATTATCAGGTATGTTTCCAGCAGGATGTACACAGGATATGAGGGCAAGATATGACCATCATCAATTTGGAGGATGCAACAGGTTATAGAGGAAAAGTGTGCACATACAGAGAGACTATATACATCTGCATGTAACCTTTCAGATCTCATTTGGGTTTTGCCTGTTCTTCTCGTCAAGGCTAGTTCTATGAGATTGAAATCTGTTTTACACTGCTGGTACTACAGATAATAGAAAATAGAGCTCTCTATGTTATAGATCATAGAGATTATTCAAACACTAAAATTAAAATGATGTTGAAATTGGTCTATACTTCAATATGGGAGAGTGTTAAAGTACAGATTATTTTTGTACTAGAAGAATTTAAATGTCTTCAGTCAGATGGACAAACTGCAAACACAGGTATCAGTTACTACTAAGTATACTGCATTTAGACCACAGGAGCACCATGAAGTGTTGATATGGATCTCTAGGGTGGAGAACCTAAATGTCTCTACATGCCTGCTGCTCTGACTCATCTATAAGGTCTATTGGCACCACACCTTCCTGATAAAGGGCCCTCCTACTCAACAAAACCTGAGAGGAAAATGATGCTCCCACTCATTTTGCTGGGCCCTCAGGGAGTTTTTGTAACCTCAGCCTCCCAGTAAGACTGGGCCTGATGTACTGAGCTTACAAGTTTTGAATTTTAAATTATGTGATCCCTACTTGCCTTTGTTTCACAGAGAAACTGAAATAAAGACCATTAACAGAATTTCTATATCCATGATGACATTAAATTGTAAAAATTTGATATTTCAGCTGTGGCCAAGTTTGAAATGTCTTAATATTTCATGTCAAGAAAAAACAGTGTCCAAAACTACCAAAAGCTGGAAAAGAAAAAAGAAAAACTACATGTGCAAAAAGGAATACTTAAAATGTAAATATGCAGTCAAAATAACTGTTAGTTATTTCAGATTTCTTATTTACTTTATAATCCTGACTAGTAATTGTAAATTAAGTCATTTCATGAGAATAAAATAAATAATACAAAAACATTACAGATTTTTTTTTGTTGGCAGAAGGACTAATGACAGACATTAAGATATTGAATATATACAAAGCACCAAGCTAAAACAAACAATACATGAACATGAAAACACTTGGTAACACATGCATATTTTTGTAAAATATAAAATGTTTATTTTAATACCAATGTAACTCTGAATAACACAGAGAAACTTTAGTCACTGTCTACCTCATTAGTCTTATAAAGCATAATGGAAACTTACTTTTGGAGTTTGTCATATTCTCGCTCAAAGTCTCTTTCAACCTAAAATAAAGAATGCATTGCAGGTATATTAGCATTTTGGCATAGTACAAATAATGACTCCAAAAATTGTAACGGACAATAAATACATGTGCGAAATATAATTGTTTCCAGCAACAATGATTACTTCAGAAGGCATTTGTTTTCCCACTTGGACATACAGTGGGGCAAAAAAGTATTTAGTCAGCCACCGATTGTGCAAGTTCTCCCACCTAAAATGATGACAGAGGTCAGTAATTTGCACCAGAGGTACACTTCAACTGTGAGAGACAGAATGTGAAAAAAAAATCCATGAATCCACATGGTAGGATTTGTAAAGAATTTATTCGTAAATCAGGGTGGAAAATAAGTATTTGGTCAATAACAAAAATACAACTCAATACTTTGTAACATAACCTTTGTTGGCAATAACAGAGGTCAAACGTTTACTATAGGTCTTTACCAGGTTTGCACACACAGTAGCTGGTATTTTGGCCCATTCCTCCATGCAGATCTTCTCGAGAGCAGTGATGTTTTGGGGCTGTCGCCGAGCAACACGGACTTTCAACTCCCGCCACAGATTTTCTATGGGGTTGAGGTCTGGAGACTGGCTAGGCCACTCCAGGACTTTCAAATGCTTCTTACGGAGCCACTCCTTTGTTGCCCGGGCGGTGTGTTTTGGATCAGTGTCATGTTGGAAGACACAGCCTCGTTTCGTCTTCAAAGTTCTCACTGATGGAAGGAGGTTTTGGCTCAAAATCTCACGATACATGGCCCCATTCATTCTGTCCTTAACACGGATCAGTCGTCCTGTCCCCTTGGCAGAAAAACAGCCCCATAGCATGATGTTTCCACCCCCATGCTTCACAGTAGGTGTGGTGTTCTTGGGATGCAACTCAGTATTCTTCTTCCTCCAAACACGACGAGTTGAGTTTATACCAAAAAGTTCTACTTTGGTTTCATCTGACCACATGACATTCTCCCAATCCTCTGCTGTATCATCCATGTGCTCTCTGGCAAACTTCAGACGGGCCTGGACATGCACTGGCTTCAGCAGCGGAACACGTCTGGCACTGCGGGATTTGATTCCCTGCCGTTGTAGTGTGTTACTGATGGCGACCTTTGTTACTTTGGTCCCAGCTCTCTGCAGGTCATTCACCAGGTCCCCCCGTGTGGTTCTGGGATCTTTGCTCACCGTTCTCATGATCATTTTGACCCCACGGGATGAGATCTTGCGTGGAGCCCCAGATCGAGGGAGATTATCAGTGGTCTTGTATGTCTTCCATTTTCTGATGATTGCTCCCACAGTTGATTTTTTTCACACCAAGCTGCTTGCCTATTGTAGATTCACTCTTCCCAGTCTGGTGCAGGTCTACAATACTTTTCCTGGTGTCCTTCGAAAGCTCTTTGGTCTTGGCCATGGCGGAGTTTGGAGTCTGACTGTTTGAGGCTGTGGACAGGTGTCTTTTATACAGATGATGAGTTCAAACAGGTGCCATTCATACAGGTAACGAGTGGGGGACAGAAAAGCTTCTTACAGAAGACGTTACAGGTCTGTGAGAGCCAGAGATTTTCCTTGTTTGAGGTGACCAAATACTTATTTTCCACCCTAATTTACGAATAAATTCTTTACAAATCCTACCATGTGAATTCATGGATTTTTTTTTTCACATTCTGTCTCTCACAGTTGAAGTGTACCTCTGGTGCAAATTACTGACCTCTGTCATCATTTTAAGTGGGGGAACTTGCACAATCGGTGGCTGACTAAATACTTTTTTGCCCCACTGTATTCACGGTCTTTACCTGTAGGATTATGCACCAGGATTGACGGACAGTGGTTTGAGCAGCTGAAATGCAGGTAAAATGACTAGGTTATGTTTAATAAATTATTTTATATTTAACTAAACCTCTTGCGTGGACTCCTTCCTTCCTTGTCCAGGATCTTTAGACCTACTGGTAAGATTAAAGTTTGGGCCCTTGTTAATCAACTTAGTTTGCAGTTTGCTAAATGGTCATCTAAATTGAATTGCTTTTTGAGTACAGCCGAAAGTTGTTATGGTATTTTAGACTGTGACTAACATCTTAGGAAGTTCTAGAAGTTCAGATCATTAGTATTGCAGTTCTAAATAACATTAGTTTGGATCGGGTACATCAATTTAGAGTTTTTGCGGTTGGAAGAGAGCAGCACTAGTATTTTGCTCAGCTGTTAAGTCCATGAATTTAGGGTTTCAGATATCCTTTTTGGCAAATATAGCCAAATGAGTCTCTCAGTTAAGTAGGTTTAAGTGGTTTATTTGTAGACTTAAACTTGAATAGTGTTGTAAAATATGTAACTTGGTAACATTTTGGTGTGCTGCTGTGGTTGATGCTCATACTTTAATTACAGCTTTGGTTGTTTGATGCTAGAAGTTTTTCAGAGGAGTGTTGTTTGGGAATTATATTAGTAGCAATTTCCAGTGATAAAAAACAGTTTGGCCATGCATTACTGTATGTGCTAACCAAGAACACTTATGTGTCACTACTCCTTAATTTGTACCTGGCGTACAATATTTAACTTGTTAGTTTTGTCTGGTAGCTTTGACTCTATTAACTATTTTGAATTGCTGTGAGCTTTGCAGTAGCTTGGTTATCTCTTTGTTGGCATCTTGGACATTTTGGTTAGTGTGGACGTTTCTGTTTGGAGTAACATTTTGGTGTGCTACTGTGGTTGACGCTCATACTTTAATTCCAGCTTTGGTTGTTTGTTTGGCTGGAATTTTTCAGAGCACTGTTGTGTGGGGGTGTGCATGTGTAACTGCAGGCTATGTGGTGTTGGGCACTTGTGTTGAGATCTGGTGTTCATTTAGTTTTTTTACTCATTCTTCTGAGATTAACTGATTTTCCCATTGAATTTATCTACAAGACTAGACTTGCTATTCTGAGGCAGATACTTATTGCACTCTTCTGTATACCAGTTATATTACTAGCAACTTTTGGTGATAAAAACCAGTTTGACCATGCATTACTGTACGTGCTAACCATGCACTCGTATTCACCACCACTCCTTAATGTGTTCCTTGGGTAGGAAAACTGGATCTGATAAAGTGATTGGTGTCAGGTTGTTCTGGTTGTGTGGTAGCCATTGTAATAAATAAATCAGGACCCTTCCACACTCACTCAAGGGAACGTAAACTATAGAATAATCTTAATAATCCATACAACAGTGACACCGCTTGTACTGAATGTATACAATGTTTTTCACTTTTTAAGGTCTTTTTTAAACATAGATATTGCGGTGTACTATAATGCATCATGTACCGCAGAATTATATCATGATACAATTGACTTTGTAGGTATTGTGATAAAACTGAGCTGTTTGTTAGTCTGTGACTCCCACAGTAAAACTTTGCTTTAATCTCAGAGTTAATCTGAGTTTGGACCTACTCACAGCTGTCACCATCTCTCCCACTCCATGGTTTTTGCCTAGGATGGCACAGGAAGCTGGAATCCCTGTCTCACAGTCTAAATGCCAGGCCACAAACCTATTATGGTGGAAGTGGTTTTCTCCAGCAAGAAGAACACCCTCTCACTGTCACTTCAAGGTAACCACCTCAGCCCCCTTGAAAGACTTAGACAAATTGACATCTAATAAATCTTTGTGGACGACAGTATTTAGACTACTATTCGTGTGGTCTGTGCCATTCGTGAAGCTCAACAACTACAGCTTTTAAACTGCTGTTTTACCTGAATGTCTGGATAGAGTAAAAGTTTGTTCTTGTGACTTACAGTTTTAGAGACAATCTGTTTTTTTGGTTGTCCAATCTTGAACGGGATCCTGAAATGAACACGAAAAAACATGCAATGAGTGCTGACAGATACAAGCAACAGGAAATGATTACCAAAAAGGTGAGATTAATGAATGCTTAAATTGTCAACAGTTGCATGATGACCAACTAAAGGACAGCTCAGGTCTACCGGTGTATTAGTGCCTCTTTTAGATCACTGACACAGACAATCTGAGGCTGTCAATCCCTGTTCCTCTCACACATGTTGTCAGTGACATGTACATTAACTTTGTGTCATCACTGATCACATCTGGCTGCCACTGCAAGCAGATGTCACTTAACAGAAGTGGTTGTCCCCTCATCTGTGTGATTTTACATGACCCCAACTGGCAATCAAATGCAGATGTTATAACATCAAAAAAATAGCAACCCCCCCCCCCCCCAAACCACCTTCATATACCAGGACTCAAAAAGACAAAGCCATGACAACAATCAACACCAAAACATGTTACGAGGCTCACTGTATCTGCAATAGTTTCACATAATTTTCAGGATGAAGTACAACTTTTCTTCACTCGGGAAGCAAAAGACACAGAGATTCTACTTTCAGTAAAAAGAAAAAAACTTGTTTCGTCTTAGTTAAAACACAATCTTTTATCCCCATTTCAAACCCTTGCCTATGCCTTAATAAGTTGCTGCAGCGCATCAGAGTGCCTTGGATATCCATGAGACAGAAAACACTGCCTTATCATTGTGATTTGCTCTATGTTGTACGTTGTCATTGATGTTGCACTAATGGTCTGAAATCTAAGCTACATGATGGACAGTTGCTACTGACAGCCAGGGTGAGGCAGCAGCTGTGTCAAAAGAAAGGTGTGTAGACTAATGAGATGGAAAAGTGAGGGTGTGATGTAGGACCTTATTGTGCAACCAGGGAAAGCTACAGATGTGTCAGGAAGATCCTTTTGACTACAGCTCAATCACAAAACTCAACATGGTCAAAAAAAACAAAAACAGTATGATTAAGCCTGGGGGGAAAATACATAAAAAAAAACAAGTTTCACTGGTGGCTTAGGAATTACATTGATTTTGACTTTCTGGTACTTGATATTATAACAAGGACTTTGACCTGGTGACAACCTTTTTTTGGTAAATAATAAGAATAAAAAGAATAAAAACCAGTTACAAATCCCTGAAAACATTTTGCTGCTTTCGCTCGGGGATTAGTTTCACCCACTATGTCACTACTTGGGTGAGCCAACATGGAAAAAAACCCACAGAAATTACTCAGCTTCATCTGACTCACCTTTCTCCGATGAGGTGATAGGTACACTGTAATGTCAAACTACGTGCATTACATACCCACGTACCTGTCTTTGAAACTGTTTGGGATTGTTTACCCAAAGCACAACAGCTGGAGATTTAAACACGGAGAGTTTTAGATTGGTGTTCTCCCAAAGTTAAAACAAGAAGAAACAGCCTCCACACTGCCACACTACCTCTTGTAAGATCAGTTAAGATTTAAGACAAAACAACCATAAAAGAAGCACTTCAGCCCAGTCAGACAGTATAAGAAGAAATCAGCAGAAAGTTTATGACTTAAACCACACATTAAGCATTGACTACATATCCCATCTATTAATATAGCTGAACATACATTTTGTGATGATGGTTCTATTTGTTAACGCAATCTTTTGTTCTGCACATGCATTTACAACCAGTGATCTGCAACACTTTTACTTTGAAGTCTATGTGTAGAATTAAGCTACAGTTTAGGCACAACTTACAATTTAAAAAAAGTAAGTCACTACAGAAATGAAAGATACTAATCAGTTTTAACAATTAAGCCCAACTACTGGTATAAAATGAAGAGGAAAAAGTAATAGAAATAATAAGAAATTAATTAATTAAACAGAGAGAGTTGCCATTTTTAATTATGTTTATACGTTTTTTGTACGGTGCATGAAATGACTGACTGATCTTACAAGATCAATATAGTTGTCCTTAAACCAAAAGTTCAGGGAACTGATTGGAAACTTTTTGCCAAGATTGCCCAACATTTGGAAGCAGGTTTTGAGTTTGTTCTTATTTAATGGGTGTGTCAAGCTATAAATCATGACATCCACAGCAAAAAGACAACAGAAGGGTATTATGCAAGAGTGCTTTATAAAGGAAAAGAGGTACGTATATTTAAATGTTTGCTTTAAATGCTCTTGGGTTTTTCAGTTTCTCTGCAGTTTGGATCCAAATGTGCTTACATCAAGAGGATCTGTTAAACTGTCACTATATTAGTGTGAATTTTCCCTTTAATGTATCAAATGACACACTTGCTTTGGGGGGAAAAAAATGAAGGAAGCTTGTAACATTATAGATTCAGAATATGTGCACTTCAGCAAAGAGCCAAAAAAAAGTGGTCACTCTCTTCAGCTGCTCATGAGAACTGGCAAACACACCGGGTGAAGTGTGCTTTGGGGAGGGCAACTGCAAGTAGAGGGAGAGAATGAGAAAGAGGGAGGATGGTAGTCACTGTGAGAATCATTGCTACTGTTTCTTCACACAGCAATATTTCTGTAGGGGCTGTCACATTTAGAAACATTGGTAAGCCCAGTCCTGTGAACTCAGAACTAGAATCTGACATGGCAGAGGACTGGTCAGACGACTGCTAAAAACAAAGAGAAAATGTGCATTACACCAACTCAAATCCACAATTTTCTGAAACCAAATTTAAGCCAAGTGATGACACGCATGAGTAGACGCATAAATAAGGATTTTTCAAACAACTATGAAGACACATGATTAAGATCACAAATAACAGTGCCAAAACTTCCCAAAAATACATATGAACTAAAATCTAAAAGGTCCATAGTTTCTATGAGTCTTCCAGACGTACATCTTCATCTTGTAACTGTGTACTCTCACAAAGCAGCAGTACTAAAAATATGCTTATCGGTCGGTAATAGCTACTGTTGCTGTCTTTCCTATTTAATCCAACGTTTTAATCGATCACCATTAGACTTAAGAGTAGATTACCATGTATGATTGGCTTTTCAGAACCCAACCTGTTGGCTAGGTTGAAACCCTACAATAACTCTCTCTCTCACTTAGCCAGAGACCCAGCATAGCAAGAAGTCGTTTTTAAAGAAGTATCAAAGCAATGAAAAATGAAAAATCCCACTACTGGTAAGAACATAAAATTAGATGCAGAGATTTGTCAGCTCGGTCTTTAGCCTCAGTCTGAAGTGACAGCTTTTATAACTATGCAAAACATATAGACATATAACTATGTAATAACATGGATTTAACCAAATAACTGGGGAGAACTGCAGTGGATCATGATTCTGCCCGTTCCTTGACCAAGACGCATTTAAACTGGCTCTTTACACATGCAGTCATTATCAAAAAGTTGGTCATCTCACATTTAATGAGCTATCTAATCTTTGCTGTAATAGAATACACGTCACTGCTATCAACAAAGCACGTAGGCAAGAACAAAGACATAACAGTCTTCTTGATTCTGGACACATAATGCACCAACTGGAGTAACCATTGGCTTTTCAATAAAACTGCAAATGTGTACACCATTAGGAAGATAGTGCATCATTTGAGCTCAGATATTCCGTGGAGCACAGAAGGCTAGTTGAAGATGCTGGGAAGTGGAATTGTTCTGATGATGACCCTGAAGTCAAACCGCTCACGTCATAGAACCAAGTGTGCAGGCCCTGCTGGAATGCATCAGTCAGCAGAGCCCATGAAGGACTCTTTTCACTGGGTGAGCACCCCACTCTTGACCTTGCGGTTGGCGGTGCGTACTGGTAGATGTGTCGTTTGCCAGCTATTGACCAAATGACTGAACTGAATGACGCTATCATAGTTACTACTTACAGTCTTGCCTGAATGACACTAAGAACCTGAAATATATTACAAGTGAGTTAATATACATATGCGTCATAAGTGCACTGAAAAGTTATCTTCTTTGCATTTTCTCTAGAATTACAGTCATGAATTGTGAGAGACAAAACATGAATTATGCAAATTTCCTTTTAAATGTGTAAAATGCCACATGCAATTAGGGGCTGCTATGATCAACCCCTGTTATTTGTTTAAAAAAAAAAAACAACATAAAAAACTGTATAGTCATAATTTAGTCATAAGTTCAACTAAATGTAAAATATGCTAAACAAGAGAGAATGCAACAGTTGTGAACATAAATATGTTTCAAATATGACAATCAAAAAACCAATCAAATGTGTGTTTTAGTGGAGTGCTGGTAAATGTATGTCATTTAGACAAGGATCTCACAATAAATGTTAAAACGAAGACAAAGTCCTGCCTCTTCCTTATGCCACATCTGTTGTCAGTGTTTATCACTCTGGTTAGAGGATGAAGGGAAACTATCCTTCTTGCCACAAAGTATTGCTCACAATATTGCACAGACTGGATTATCAAGCCTTTATATTAACGTTCTTAATTACTAATGTCTGTTTGGATTATAATGTAGCTTATAAACAGTAGTCTTTCCCTGTCAGTCTCTGGAGTAACTTTGACACAAAGAACTCAGGGCAAATACTGTACAAAAATCCAGTGTATGGGATGTTTATGCTTGCTCCTGAGTGCCTTGCTTCAGTAGTAATCTTCCACTTCCATTGTCAAAAGAGAGCAACACTAGCTAAGCATACTGGGTAGCCACTAGCTTCAGCCTGGACAATAGCTGGTGAGTGTTTACAGACAAGCAGGTGTCATCAATGCAAACTACAATGCTACACTGGCAACCTACTTTTGGCCAAAGCAATTGCAAGGAGGTTCAGTAAGGCTACGTCCACACCTCATTTCTGTCTGTTATTTATTTACTTTCTGGCTCTTTGAAACGTCGCAGCAAAATGTCGAGGAAATGCAGAGTTTTTTAAATGGACTAACAATGAGGTGGAGTTGTTGCTGCGAGTACCACTAAAGTACAAAAAAGTACAAAGCAAGTGAGAGTTAAAGAATTTGAAGAAAAGCTATCTGGAGCATGTAGAAGCTGATATTAATCTTTAATAGGGCTGTCAAAATTGAGCGCAAACAAAACAACTCCTGTGTAACGCTATCTTAGTTTAATTGGTCACATGACTGCATCACATGACTAAAATGTGTCAGCATTTTCAAAAAGGCTCTGGGTTCACTGTACACACTGCGATGCGAAAACGGCGTTTTCAAATGTATTTGCTTTGGAGAGCGTTTTCAAAACGCTGCGGTTTCCTTGAACGAAAAAGCTGTCTCAGTATAGACAGAAGGTCAAAACGGAAAGAGAAAAAGATGCGTTTTCAAATAAAAACGTATTAGTGTGGACATGGCCTGAAGCACCATATAACTCTTTGCAATTGATTTCCCCTGCCAGCAACTATTCACCAACCAACTGGGTAAAACACATTTGTCCCTAGCAACTTGTGGTTGGCAGGGTGTCACTGACCACTCTCTAGGCCTGCTGATTTTACAGTGACTCCCAGCAACCTCCAACAACCAATCATCGACTGGCTGGGGAATACGCATTTTTCTCGTGCGACCGGTGGTTCCCAACTAGTGCCTTGTGTAACTAGGGCCTTGGCACTTTCTAAGTGGATGGAGAAAATGGTTTTAAAAGGGAGCACCGGAGTGTTAAGTGTGACCGTGTGGTAGGTTCAAAAAGGGTTTAAATGCTTTGCGAATTAGAATTTTGGTTTGAATTTTGGAAATCAAGCTCAAATGTCTTAGTCAAAAAACTCCAGTTTTAACCATCTATAAGTGCTGTCATCTTTCTTTAAAAAAATCATGAGATAATGGTTGAGTGTTAGGGGAAAAACCCACAACATTAAAATAATGCAAAATTTCTCTCTTTTTTCTTGCCTACAAACTGTTTACTGTTATACCTTCACAATGATCAACTGCTTGCATCTAAGGCTTTAAGGGAGTTTAATTTAGCCACTCCACCCAATACAAATAAATAACCTGTGGAAAATAAAACAGCTTCTTACCATGTGTGTCTAAAGTTCCTGGCAAAACCCTTAACCAACAAAAAAGCTTATATAAGCAGAATGCTAGTGATTTATTTCCATCCCTGTAAGAAAATAACTAAAAGATACGAGTATTTCTGGAATATACATAATTGACACTACATTCACAACAAGAAACTAAACTTTGGTGGGGGGTTTTCTGTAAACAAATTCAAACAATGGTTTTAGCCAATTAACTACACTCACTGTTTAGGAGCACCCACTTGGTAGACAGCCAACAATAAGTGAACGGGCTCTCCATAGATGGGCTCTGATTACAGTCATTGTAAAGGGCAATGCAACAGCCTTTCAACAGTTCTTCTGAACATTCATCCAGTCGACTTTTACACACCGCATGCTGCTGGAGACCCAAGAAAGCAGAGTAACTGGAGTCTTGAGATCACTCCAGTGTGAAGGAGACTCACTTTGGAGCTCTTCTCATGTGAGATTTCATAACTATATAATCAGTAGGGATATTACCAGAACCAATACTCTTGGTACCATTCAATATCAAAAGGTTTTGTTTTTCTTTGGTAGCATATGTATCACATGGGTAATTCTTTCTGAAGTAAAGGGGGAGCATGCATTTCCACCTGTTCTAATCAGTCTATATATGCTGAAGAAGAAGAAGGAAGAAGTCCTAAACTACAGGAAAACCTACAAATGGAGTGGGGTGATGGGGGCAGGGTGATGATCGATTTACAAACCACAATATAAAAAAAGCACTGGTAGCTGCCAATGCTAACCCCTTAGCCTCCTACTAGAAGCATGTGTGGCATGAATATGAAAATCCTAGGTGATTTTCAGAAAAGTTGACCTCTGACCTTGACCCAGAGGACACTGGGATTCAAACTTCTCTGAGATTTTAGTAGATGTACCCATGGTATGAATTTGAAAATCCCAAGTCACCTTGATCTTGTTATCATGTTCACAAGATTTTGAGAAAACCTGACCTCTGACCTTCAGGTCAAGGTCACTGAGATTTGAACTAATCCAAGATTTTTGGGAGTTGAACCTATGCTATTAATTGCAAAATCCTACACCACCCTGTATTGCATTCACATAATTTTCAGAAAACCTGGCCTCTGACCTTGAGGTCAAGGTCGCTGAGATTTGAACTCATCTGATTTTTAGTAGCTGCACCTGGAGGGTGATGACAATACCCCATTAGCCTTTTAGAGCTGAAGGATAAAGGTGTATGGTGTAATCCGGTCTTTAAGCCTGACGTCATTAGGCGTGCCTGGGCCCAAACTCCGCTGCAGGTCCCTAAGTCCAACGATCACTATGGCATGACTGAGAGTTAAAAACTGTCCAAATCCTTTCATCCGTAATAAAATGATCAGCGTTGCTGCTCTACCAGGTGTAACAATTAAGTTCAACATCCAGGCATCCATGAAAACCGAATTTATGAAATTTAACGGAGTTTGAAGTTAGCAGGAAGTTAGCTCGCACTCAATAAAAGTTAATGTGAGCGTTCCCGAAGGTTCGGTACAAATGCAATCGCATGGCAGGATGGTGTAAACGGACCGAAATTCAGTCGTGAGAACAACTGAGATAATCCATCCACAATACGAGGTCAGTTATTAATATACTGCTGCATGGGCTGAGCTGTAGTTACATCTTAAGGTTTTAAAAACTGAGCTTTAAAATGATTAGCGGTAATAAAAACCGAGAGAGGCCAACAGTGATTACTGAATGTTTTTAGGGGCTTGTTGAGATTAAATAGAACAAGATACAAAGCATTAAAACATGTAAAAAACACAAAAGCCTTATTAAACGCAGAGTAGTTTGGACCTGGAAGCAGGATTCATCAAGTCATCACTTAAAGACCGGATAGATATCCCCATGTTGGTGCGTGTTCCTGCGTCATCAAACTAATGCCTGTCCAGTACCAACAAAGCAATTGACTAATTACACTGTTGTAATGTCACAGCTGTCCAATGTGGGGGGAAAAAAGTTTGTTTATATAAAGCTCGCTTCTGGAGCAAATGTTAGCATTTTAAGTGTTCTCTTTATTACTTTATACAAGATAATAAACATATTTTTAAGTAAGGTTACTCATGTTGATTTACTGATGATTGTAGCTTTATCTTACCTCTTGGCTAATGCTAATTGAATGCTAAAATGTAAAAAAAAAAAAAAATCACCTAAAAGGCCTGGCATCCACATCTGCTTAAAGAATTCAAACTGAGACTGACAATCGCCCTTCTTATACAGTGCCAAAGAATGATTGTCTACCAAAAAATGACTTCTGGTGTTCGCTCAAAAAATCACTGCCAGTACCTGAACTGTTGTAAATGACTTGGTGGCCAATAATTCCTCAAACAATATCTCTCATGAATGACATCAAGTCATTTTTCTATATTCTTTATTTATCTATGTAAAAAGTCTCATTGACATTAAAAATGTCTTTTTCAAGAGAGAGCTGGCCCGGAGGCCAAAAGAAATGGGAACAAATATAACATAACAGGTCTATGAAGATATTTTAAATGGCCAAAAAAGAACCGAATTGAGTATAATGTAGAGTATGAACTAAGTAGGTACAATAATGCAGTCATAAAGACAGTTGCAAAACAGATTATTTATTTTATGTACAACTCCCTTTTTTAAATTTATGTACAACTCCCCTTTAAATCAGCTTGACTGCAGTCTATTTACCATTATAAGCACAGGCATATAATGGTAGACATATATGGTAGACATATAAAACAAAACACAGAAACATTGGAAATCACTTTTTGGCACGATTCCTGCGAGACACACAAATGAAGACGACACACAGCTATCATTGCTTAGAAAATCAAAGTTCACAAAGAGCCCAAAAGCATGTGTCAACATACCAGCTAGTCACAGCTGATTACTGTCGACCGACGTTTATATCCCTTTAAATTGCTTCACCGTAAACCCGTCCGACCTGACAACTGACGACACGAAGTTTCCACGTTTAGCAAAAGCCACAACCCTAGATTTTATTAAACAGTAGAAACAAGAAGCCTAAACTTAAAAGAGCAGTTAGGTCATTTTTCCCTCCCTAATTTTAGAGCAACTAGGCGAACTAACAGCTAGCTAACATATACTGTACAAGTAGCTCGTAAACGACTTTGTCGATCCTGTGCCAACTGTGTGTAACAACTACAGCCTTGCGACCACGTTTTACAGAAAGAGTTTTGGGGCAACCTAGTCTTACGGAAAGGTTACTAGAAGACGTTTTTATTCGTGAAACACTTGGTTTGACACGCTAAAGCTAACTCTAGTTACACTATAGGTGCCTGTGAGCGCTTCCAGATTATAGCCCGAGCCCGGTCGACAAGTCAGTCCTAAATTAACTTGAATGGATCGTTTACAGTTATATTTTATTCATAACAATGTAGTCAGGGTACATACCAGCTCATTTTGAGTGAACTTTTACTCCGGTTTCATTGGGTAGTTTTACTATCTTCCGAGTATTACTCCTTTCTACCAGTCAGCAGTCGAGCTCAAAACAGGAAGTCCGGAGCTTAGCCGCGTCTGCTTCCTCTAAGGAAGTTTTGTGGGACACGAACACAGCAGCGACAGGAAAAAAGTCACTTGGAAGCACATGTAATGTAATATCAGACTGAAACGTCGCCTTTTTGTTCTTTTGACACCCGAGTAAACTGAAGGCAAGTTATATTTTTCTTTATTCAAGTACTTATACATAGAAATAACAAAACAATTGCATTACAACAAACTGAAGTGCCAGGTAAACAGGGGAGCACACCTCCCCATCACAAGGATATAGTAAAATTCATTTCAATATTCAGCTCATCATAAAAGGACCTTATTATAAGGTAATAAAAACATGAAATAGGCTAAAGACATCCACAACATTTTAAACAAGACCCCTTGTTTTTCTTGAACAAAAAAAAAGAAAAAAAGAAAAAGCCAACAGAACAGTTATCCCAGTGTGTGTTTCCAATTGTCTGTCTTGCATTGTTGTAAGGTTTATCCCATTTCACCCAATGAGACTTTTTATTTTCATGCATAATAAAGAAATGAGCGCCACCCACTACAGCGTCTGAGGGTAGCACTTTGGAACATTTCCGTGCACATGCAAACATGAGGATACTTGTAATGAAAGGAAACACAACACAACAGAAAACAGGGAGTATTGACTCCATCTGAACACCAGTGTCACTGCCGAAGACCACAAAATCCCTGAAGCCACCCTGTAGTCCATAAGATGACGTGAGTTACCTATAATATCTACACATTATTGAGATCTCTTCAAACATCTTTTTTTTGTTTGTTTTTTTTTCTTTTCTTTAAAAAAAAATCCTACAGTTATTAAATGTCATGAATGAGCCCAAACCTAGGGATTTGCCCTAGGCCAACTTTACGGAGACCAAATCAAACAGTTGCACACAAACATTAGCACAAGGCTGCCTTCAGTTGCAAGCAGAGGGAGGTCACATTTATGATTTGTTGCTCCTGCGGAGTTCTCATCATGTATTGTTTTTGATCAGCCAACCCTGCAACCCAGTTTGGCACAAAGATGGCCGCTGATATTGGCTCAAGTCCAATACGGAGCATGGGATGAAGCAAATTCCAATTTCAGAGCTTTCAGCTGCCCACTATTGGACAATAGCCCGTAAAAAAAAGAAAGAAAGAAAGAAAAAGTGATTGGAAAAGCATTATTAAAGGTGGTGGGTTTGTTTCTGAGTTTAACAGTCGATTGATGTATGTCTGTACCATTCACACCTTACTCAGATGGTTGTTCAGAAGAACATGGAGCAGGCTCTATTGTTCAGCCGCTATATTACATTAAGGGAGTGGGATGATAGTGGTGGTGGGGGGTTACTCATTTTTTTAGCCACAAAACAATAAATGACAGAAACAGTGAGACTGATAAATATTACGTTTGTAGCTGTAATTAAATGGCTTCATGGAGACGCCTTAGTCTACATCAATCTTTAACAGAAAGCAACATAACACAGTTTGTCTCTTGGAGGAGAGCATAACTTTGGGTCAAATCAATTCAAAATAATCCACAGTCTAACATCAAATGAATCTAGATGAGCATCAGTGATAAAACATTTTGGTTCATGTGCCGTATATATATTCTTATGTGCTGACTCCACGAGGATGTATGTGACAATACAACCTACGTTAGACGCAGTCGCTCAAACTCCAATGCAATGTGTGAAAATGAGTCGTTGTTACAAAGCCAATAATGTGGCAATACAGATAAGGAGGGGGTTACATAATGTGTCAGTCTGCAAAAGTAAAATGTATTCAGGACTTTGTTTGTTTGTGACATTATATTAGATCACAAAAGAAATCTTTAGATGATGTCCATCCATGCGGTAGAATCATTTATCTCTCTGTGATACAAAACCATTGAATTGCAGTTAGATGGCACAGGGCTGTGTTAACTTTTAGACTATCTCAAAAAGTGCAAGGAGGTCTGTTCATGTAACCACGTCGATGAGCTGAGAAAAGGCTCTCTGAGGCCAAATTAATTGGAAAATAAGTGGACACTTGCCAGGAAGCTCTGCAATGAAAACTGTAACAGGAAAGGGAAAGTATGGACTTTGGAAGCTCATTTCTGTGTGCACTGTGCTCTCTGTGGCATTGCTTTTCTGAACTTTACTGTTGGCCTTTACATTTGTCTCTTCATATTCTCTTTCAGCCTGATTGCTGTGTTTGCTGACCATTTAAATGTTTATTTCTTTTTTTTCCCAGCTGCTAACGTTGTTCATATAAATTCTCCGCCTCACATAAAGCGTACTCATTATCAGCCAGAGTGCACAGCTAATAATTCGAAATGTTGTCAAGGTGAATAACAGGAAGCATGTTTCTTTTAAAAAGAGGACCGGTGTTTGAGAAATGATATAAAATCTGAATTATGCTATCACATGGACAAGGTTATTACTGCACAAATATTTCTTTAACTCTTGTTTTGTTTGCTGAATCCATTACTGATATGTTTGATATCTGGTCTTTTTTGCTAGCCTCAACAATAATTTATTTATTCCTTAGTCTTATTTTTCTTTTTAACATGTTTCATTGGCTTTGCCCCAAAGTACAATACATTTATCGTACTGGATAAAAACGTCATATTGGTATGTCAGTTAGGATGTTTTGCATTTGCACCACATAACCATAACACAGCCTTGGAGGGGGGAAAACCCTTCTTGCTTTCCATGAGTAAAGCAAAGCACTATTATCAAATGTGGTTATTGTTATGATATCAGTCAATATCACTATAACACAGAAAATATTACAAAATATTTCCTTAAACCATAAAAGGTGTTTCCTTCTGTAAGCACAAATCTAAGCAATTTAACTAAAGAGTCATTTGTGAAAATGATCAGCATTGCACTGTAATAAACTTCAAAAATTAAAAAAAAGATCCAATCATTCGGGCGAACATCTATCTTAGAGCAACCAGTGCCTTTTTTTATTTTAAATACAGTGGGGAAGATGTGCTAATTAAAATAACCGATATTGCTATAATGGAGATACACAATATGTAAAAAAAAGAAAAGAAATCTTGTCATTTATTCAGAGAACACATTAGTGCTTCCTTAAACCAGTTTCCACTTTAAAGCATACACATGGTGCAGATGCTATTATTCTTTTTTTTAATGGGAGATAGCACACCATATTTGGCACTACTGTAGTGCTCCAAAAAAAGTTGTTGTTTTTTTTTTTGCAATCACCTATGACAACAAAATATTCTGTATTATAACTACATTACTAAAAGCTTTAAGACACATTCTGCACAAGCATTCAGTCAACTGAAAATTCTTGTTTATGCAGACATTTGTATTTACATAGTGTGCATGAAGGCATGCACATAAATTTTATGCACGATTTAATACTGAATTATGGTGCATTTGACATTTGAGTACAAAAAGTGAAACTTCTACTGTAGCTACCTGCATACATATTTGTATTCTGTACAACAACAACAACAACAAAAAAAACAACAAAAAAAAAATCCAACATGTTAGTTTACAGCTCAGTCTCTCTGTATTAAAAAAAGATGTAAACATGGATTTGGATGTTTCTCTTTTCCTCTTATGGGATACTGCTCCTCATTCGATGACTTAAAACCAAGCAGTTTAGTCCTTTTACTCCAAGAATCACACAGAAGTGGCCCCTGTCATTTTTTACCCTTATTTAGCTTTGCTTTCATATACTGCTGGTTTGCAACCCAGTGCTTATTTAAACAGTTCAATTCGTCTAACTGTGCTCTTAGTTAATTTGATTTATGGGTTGGTGGCATTTGTCATGACTATATTGCATATAATTGCAGAACTCAAGAAAACTGAGAAATGAACAGTATTGGTGAGCTTTTTCTAAAAAAAAAAAAAAAAAAAAGGAAAAAGAAAGCAACAGAAATTATATCTGGTAACGCCACATGAAGCTACCATATAAAAAGGCAACCCAAAAAAAAAAACCAAACCAGTGTATCACAGTGACTACAAATAAATAAGTATTGGCAAAGGCATCGATTGCTGCAGGCGTGTGTGTACATGTAACAGGACAAGACATCGGTTTTGCTTTGTGTGACCCAGTCAAGTCGTTCTCTAGATCTGACTCATTTGTGCAGGTAAATCTAAATCTGGTGTGTGGTTAATGAATCTGAGCTTTGCTTTAACTCAACGTTTGTGCTAAGCTGATACCACTGCTATGTTTTGGCAAATGTCAGGCACAGTAAAAAGAACAAGGTTGGCTGCATCATCACAATACATTTGGCACATTCCTTTGAGAAAACAACATTCAAAAAGAGGTGGAAAAAAAACAACCCCAGAACACAACAAAAAGACAGTCAAGTGCCACTAATAAGGTTTCCATGACGGTACACAAATGTAACCAATTGCACTTTTAAACAGCCTACTAAAATTAATGCATACATCCCCAGACCACTCGTTCCTCATCTCCCTCATAATTCTGTCTGTTTCGACCCTTATCCTGGATTCTGGCTTCCTTCCAATTTAGAAAATTTCATTCAAATTTACAAAAGTGTATCCACTCCAAAACCTATAGATACACACGGTGCCCTTTCTTTGTGTTGGCACTGTGTTACAGTAGCTGAGGCTCTGAGTTGCTTGAAAGAGAAGGGCGTAGCAGCCTTTCCCCTCTTACTTAATCTAAAGGCATCCATCTCAAAAATAGAAGGAACTGAAAAGAGCAGGGGTGTAAAAGAGAGGAAAAGAGTCACCTATTTATCTCATAGCAGACGTGATCCCTTCTTCCTACGTCTCTTTATTGTGTGTGGTGAGGGTCCAGTCCAAGTGCACGTAGTGATGGTCATGACGTTCCCACAGTTGGCCCCCCGCAGGAGCTGGGCGGCGAGCTGTGGCTCCCAGCTGCCCCACTGCTCTTGTCAGCTGGCTTCTTGTCCTTCTGTTTCAGGTGCACCTTTGCGTGTCTCTTTCGCTCGTCGCTTCTGGCAAACTTGCGTCCACAGAACTCACAGGAGAAGGGTTTCTCACCCGTGTGCGTGCGAATGTGTGTGGTCAGATGGTCGCTCCTGCTGAAGGAGCGCATGCATATTCGGCACTGGAAGGGTTTGTGACCCGTGTGGATGCGGAGGTGACGCGTGAGCTCGTCTGAGCGCGAGAAGCGTCTGTCACAGTTCTCTGCCGGACAGGCGTGCGGCCGCTCGTGGACCGGGGTTTTGCTGGGACGGTTGGGGTACTTCCGTGGTCGGATGGGTTTTAGGGTGAGTGTCTGTGGTGGGGGGTGGTGCTGAGGTGGGTGCTGCTGCCCGCCGATGAAACCTGGGTGAATTTGCTGCTTGTCTTTGAATGCTCTGATGGTCTCCAGAGGCGTGATGGGTGGAGGGTTGACTCGGATGGGGTCCATGGTCTGAAAGGGCTTGTGCTCCATCACGCCGACCTCCCCTTGATGGTGGAAAAGGTTGTAGTCGGGGATCATGGAGAAAAGACTGCCATCCATGGAGGCTTTTGATGTGGAGTGATAGTCATTGCCAGGGTAGGCTAGAGGGGTGCTGGTGGCAGGGCTGTGGTGAAAGGAGACCTGATCCTGGTACAGGTCACCACAGGTGGAATAAGCAGGCAGTGGTGGACCATATACCTGCTCCATGTCTGACGTCTGTCCGCCCATGCTTGCTGCGGAGGATGATGTTTGTGTCGTTACTGTGCCGGGTGATGGAGAAACACCGAGGATCCCCGCGCTCACAAGACTGATGATATTGTTATCAGAGCACCAGCCAGAGCCACCAATGCCACCTGAAGGAGGAGTGTCAAAGGCAAACTTCCCCAAGTAGGTGACAGTCTGCCCGCTGCGGTTGGACTGGAAGCTGGATCCATACTGAATCTCCGAGGTTGCTTTCTCGCTTCCCATGCCCAGATCCATGATATTATCTAGATGAAAGCAAATAAAAACACACATGAATAAATCATCAACGTGATGGCTCATATGTGAATTTGAAATGTAATCATTTCATAAGAAAAGCCCAAGAAAGTAATAACATGGCGTACTCTCTGGAGAAAAAAACAAAAACAAAACTTGGCTACATGAACTTTAAGCGGCAGTCCTCAAGGTTTGTCCGGAATTCAGATGTTATGCATACCTGTGCAACAGACAACAAATGATGAAAAATGAAAGAAGTCCCATAGAGTTCATAAAGAAATGTGAACGCTGTCGGACCTGTAAGTTAAGTGACTGACTGCTGCATCTGAGAGAAGGGTGTCTCTCTCTCGCTCCTCTCTCTCTCAGATCCCACAAGCTCTCATAAATCAAGACCTAAACACCCCCTTTGATCCAGTCATTGTGTCCCTCAGGAGGACAGCCAAACTGAATGGCAAGATTTGATTTCTTTACAGCAGGGAGGATTATAAAGGCAGACGCCACATCCATCACGCTCAAGGATTCAAAACACATACGCAACAAAGAACATCTGGGAGGAATTTTACGTGTTTCCTACCCCATTTCACAAAATTTCCTTGATATTTTCTATCGCTCACACTTCAACCAAGAACGAACAGTCTCTCGTGCACATTTGACTTTGTCATAAGGTGCCTTAAAACCCACCAAATACAGATGTACTTAATGGGTGACATATACATGTGCTGGTTATATACTCAAAAAATTAAATATGAGACTTTTTTTTTTTTTTTTTTTTTTTTTTTGTAAATTGGAATGCTCTCTTCGCCAGCAGTTAAAAAAGACGTCTCTTTTCATTTATATTTTCCTTCCCAGTAATTACAGCCTGCTGGAATTTGGCTGAAAAGAAAAAATTCTGTGCATTGTGCACCATACCATTTAACACATGGAGACTTGGAGCAAGCTATATTTTTCTATGACATTTATAAAACAAGTCTCAGTTTATGTTTATTATTATTATTATTATTATTCTTATTATTCTTCTTCTTATTATTATTGTTATTGTTATTATTATTATCTAATAATCTAAATCTTTTGGAGGTATTTTGTGTAATATGATATTTTAATGGAATGAGGGACATTAATTAAAATCACCACTCTTTTATTATAGGTCAGATTTGAAAAGCATAGCACACACCTGCTCCACCTGTAAAATCACAGCATAATACGTTCAAATTGTACTTTTTAAAAATTTTGTATTTTACCCCAAATAATAAAGAAACAGGAGGACAAAAACAGACGGACCTATTGTAAATATATGGCTTACAGTTTACTGAGAGAATTTCAGCAAGGGGAGAGGTTTAAAGTAGCAACACACACTCCTGTAACCCGCAACATCTTTTTTTTCCTTATTAAGTTTCATTCATTTTTTTAAACGTCCCAACCAAGGTCTCAAAATATATTCTACTGCCGAGTCAAAACAAAATGATAATAATAATAATAATAATAATAATATGGCACACGTATGTCATAAACTTGTATTTATTCCAAATTTTTTAAAAAAACCAAAAATGTCACGTGTAACACCTGGCGCTTGGATAATTCAAAGGCACACCTCTGAGATAATTGAGGGGGAAATATTTCAGTTTAAAATGAATCTAAAGATCTGCTTTAATCTGTGAACAAAACACCTGAAGAGGAAATAAAAAGAAAAGAGGGTCGTGCATGAAGTTGTGCACGGAGCAGGTAAATCACAGTTACTAAATTAAAGGAAACGTGAAGTTAAATATTTGATATATTTTCGTGGATCACTGACCCATCATCTCAGAGGGTTAAAGCTGTACAGCGAGGGATTGATTTAATGCCAATCCACGACACTGAGCCGAACAACAAGTCGACTTTAGGTAGGCGTCTGAATTAAATATAAATATGTTAGCCCGATTTGGACTACGCGATAAATCAGTTAATATATCCGGCCTTGCCACTCACTGAATATAAGCAGGTTCAGGGGCCTGACGTCTAAACGTGTTTCATATAGGGGGGAAAGCGGCCACACACGCCTACTAAAATCTGACATGCTAATAGAGTTGTGAATGAGAGTCATTGTCTAAAGTAGTTGACCCATCTTTGCGGGATATTAGATGAACAAATCGGTGACAGTGGAGTTTGACCACATAGGCCTAATTAAACACATTTTCCCTCACCGTAAAGATCTCAGATTCAGCCACGGAGCCCTGCGCGTTTTTTTTTTTAATGGACTTTGCGCAAATTAGCCGTTTTCCACTCACACAACCTTTCACATCCAGACATTTACTCAAACGCGCTTCAGCTTTGTTGAATTAAAGCCACTTTAAGCTACGCGTCGCTACTTAAATGAAACACGTGAGCCGATGTTTTAAAAGTTTTTTCTACGCGTGAGTAGGCAGCAGTTGGCTTTTTCGGGCTGAAATCCTGGCATCTCGGCTGTACGGACAATGGAATTATGATAACGACAGCAGTAAAAACACACACGATCAACTGAGTGGCATTTTTTGCGTAGTCTGTCTAATGTAAAGAGGGCGATGTTCACCTGAACCCTCTCAAAAAAAACAAGAAAAGAAAAAAGTCCAGGTTAGAATTGAGCCTTTGTGCGCAACAGCCTAAGCGCAAACAGGTGCTCCAAAGCCCCGAGACAACTGTTGCCGTCCGCGCGCATCGCAGTTTGAGCCACTTTTCTTAAAACACACACACACTCTCTCTCTCAAAAGTAGATCAAGGTCTTACCTGTGTTCATCTGTGAATAGTGATTAATGGATTCCGTACTGGTGAAAATATTCATAGACGTCGGGATGTCCTCTTCTGGGTAGAGACTGTCAGGGATCGTGTTTATTAAACTGCTCATGGTAAGAGGGATCTTGTCCGCTAGTTTCCCTGTCATAGCAGTTATATTCAGTCCGACATTTATAAAGGGCAACGCGCAGGTATCCCAGACAGTTACAGAAAAAGAAAAAAACACCGGGTGTTCTCAAAGTGGAAAACACAGGTGTGGATCGGGCGTGAAAAAAAGAGAGAGGAGCAGGAATGAATCCTGTTGCTGTAGCTATCCAAGTATCCCGCGGAGGATGAGCAGCGCCGGTTATCTCCCCCTGTGTGATCACAGGCTATTGTTGTTATTAATCTGATCACTGTGGAAGCTGATGGGCTGCTTGTGGGGGAATTTGAAGTCTGTGAATCAATGGAGGAGGTGGTGGTGTTGGTTGCACAAGAGCAGCTCTACTTGCTCTATTGGAGCTGGATAGGGGACTCCAGTCTGCCCGTATTAAATAGGGGGATGGAACATTTGTGTGACGTAGATGACCATATATGGACATGGGCGCCTAGCGCCAGGCTCTCCACGCGTCAGTCGGTGGAAACTACAGTGGAGGCAAAAAGGCTCCGACAGACAGATAGCTGCAAAGTTTACAAAATCCACATGCCACATCCAGCTGCGTCCTTCTTCAGGAAGACCCGCGGCTCTCATGTGTTCCCGTCCTTGTGGAAACATTGCAATGATTCAGCAGCACTTATCTTTATTGTCAGTCCTCATGTGCATTTATCAGGCACACAGCCGGCTAGTTATGCATGTGTGTGTGTGTGTGTGAGACAGTAACAGAGTGTGTTGTGGCGTTGGGGATTGTTGCTGAGACAGTACACTGCTTACTATCACAAGTTGTTTCTTAACATTCTGCCCAAACTAACCAAATAGTGAAATTTTTTTTTGTTGACTTTACTCACAGGCCTGTTTTTTTCCCTTTCAAAGCTAAAGCCACAAACTTGAATATTGAAAGTGTAAGTGCTCTTCATTGTCACACACACAAACACACTTTGTACCTTCCTACATGCTCGTTGCAGAACACTGACTCCTTTTCATGCAGCATCATTGTCGCAGAAATGCAGTAAATGGCGAAGTTAATCGTTTGTAAATATTGCAAGGGCTTTGCAAATCCACAGGCTTGCTTCGACTTGGAGCCCCAGTGACCGCTTAAGTGGAAACTCCAAATAAGGCAGTGTCCGGCCCCGCCCCTAAATGTCTGTATTTGGACATGTGAGTTCCGGGTGGTAGTAGTGGAAAAGTGATCGGAAGCCACAGACGTTTAAAGAGATGACAGTGGACAAAGCGTCATGGCTCGCTTTTCACCAACTTGTGAAAAAAAACAGAAAAAAACCCCAACTTCTTTTTTATTTTATTTTTAAATACACCCATGTAATTTGGTTTATTACACTAAAAGTTAAAAACAAAGAGAGAAAAGATAATAAAAAATAAAAAGCTTTGGAGTCACCATCCACTCACGATCTTTGAATGGTTTCACTCCTAATTAATGATTTTAAGAAAGGTTTCTTTAAATCGATTTTCCATTGCTGCTGCTGTGTCAATGTAAGCCACGCAGGCCTGTGCAACATTCTCAGAAAATACTGAATGAAATGTCAGAGCTTGAATATTTCAGACCTGAGAAATTAATAGTACCTCAATGAACCAGAAGTGTAAACAGTGTGGGAGAATTAGTCTGAATCATGCTCAGTGTTTAGGGGGCTTATACAAACAGATCAGCCAGTGATCTCGTATGTCTCATTACTGAGTCCTCCATGTGCTCGTGTCTGCGTTTTATGAGTGTCAGTCATACCAGTGGGCTGTCCCCCTCAGGGTGTCTTCACTCCGCTCTTGTAGGATACCTTAAATCGGTTAAGCAGACAGCAGTTATCCCGGTAAACTTGATTCGAATTGCAACATTCTTATAACAGGCTGAATATAGATTTTCTGTTTTGGCTTCATCACGTCATACTGATTCATTCCCTCGGCTTGCTCACTGTATCAACTTTTTTTACACTGGCCCAGGTCAAAGGGCATCGCGAGTTAAATTTGTCTTGATTCTGTTTGCCAGGGGTGAAAGTAAAAGTTGCAGAACATCAATTTGCCTTTTAAACATTATCAGAAGGTTTTCTATTAAGTTTTGTATTTTAGTAGCAGGAAAACCTGATAGGATGAGATTATTCATAATGTTTCTAAAATCACTATTTATCATCTTATATTACTGTCATCTTGCAAAAATGCATGAGTTCATCAATGCAGTGATCCATGGAAAAAGGCTTCCTCAACTGTTATGTCTATAGATGCAAATCAATCAGAATCCCATCGGCATGACTGAGGACCTTCTGTACTGCAGTGTATCTCGCCAAAGGGAAGGGCCGGGTGGTGGCTCTGTGGTTGGAAAGTTGAACAGTCGAGCTGGAACACCTACCGTACCTGTTGCTGTTTTATTTCCTCGACTGTGAGCCGGGGCACATGAGGCAGGCCTGCGTTGTTTGTCCATGGCCCTGCGGCGTTAGATCTCTTTGACTGCAGTGTCCGGGCTCTTTTGCATACAGGGATTCCATGGAAGCACATGCTTACTTTAAAGCAGGAAACTTCCCAGTCAGCGTGGATGTGCAGGCAAATAAGTTTTGTTTTTCCAAGCTTCATGGGGATAGCTAAAGTGTTTTTTCCTTACTATTAAAGGAGTTGGAAAGTTACACTGCCTGCAAATTTACATTCTTTATTATTTCCTGTGCTGTTCTTGTGTAACCTGTGGTTACTGCAAGCATCGATGAGGGGGCACAATCATCATGGTGGCTTGAGTTGGGGCATGTCCAAACCTGAAAACAGCGTACGGCATTTTACTATGGGTTTCCGGCAGAGTGACATTTTTCTGTGATGATTTGTAATACTGAGGAACAGTGCTAATAAGTCCCTTTTCACTCCATAATGTAATAATAGAACAGAAGTGCCGCCCTATTATTAACCACTCCTCTCGGTTGAAACTTTAGTTAACACGCCAGATTATTCAGTCCTCCATTTTTTAAGCTTTTGCAACCAGCTAAACACAATCATGATCATGCTTTTGCAAAGAAATAAAAAGAGTGTCCCATGTTTGCTGCGTGAAACAACTGGTAAGATATGATCTCACTTCCTGTTTGTAAGTTTCAGTGCCAATTCTGACAGGTTATTGATTACTTTAAAGTTAACTTCATCCACCAATTTCTTAACTTTTTAAAATTGGGCATATGGTTTATTAATTTACATCATAGTCACACTAGTACATCATCCAATTGAGAAGAATTTGCAACAAACAACCCAGAGACCTGACAGAAAATAAGGGACATGCAGCTGACATTATATGCCTAAAACCTCTCCTCTTTTCAAATTGAATGAAGTACAAAATAAAGATGGTGTTATATTCAACAATATGTTGAACTAGTGCTTGAGTCCATAAACTCATCAGGCCATTTTTTACTGGGATCACAATCAAGCCAAAAGGATTGTTTTTACCCGAGACATCTATGCGTGTTTTTGAAGGGATGCCAAATGCTATCAGTTTTTCTGTAAAGCAAATTTACCTTGCCTATGGGTATAATAACGTTACCTTGACTATGCAGCTGGGCTCATTTTAGCCGCCAGCTGAAGTGGTTTTGCTTTTCTGAAACGTATCTGTATCTGAATATCCTTCAGATACAGTCTGTAGTATAAAGGTGCCTCCAACTTCAAACTATTGGAGATAACAGTGTATACCAAGTTTCAGACATTTAACATGGTAAAAAGGATCAAGATATTATCCCCTATCTATGTAAAATTTTAAATTTGGCACAAAGGACAGTGGAAGAAGTGTAATCAAGTTAGAGAGAAATATTCTTCCTATGCAGATTTAAGGCTCGTCTCCTTAGTGTGCCTTATTATTGTTTTCCAGGCAGCAGATGAGGATAGCCCAGTAAGAACAAACTCTACCTTCCCCCCTGATACTATCATTGTCCAATTACTACCTGATATTCCGAAGGGTCCTTTTAAAACAGTCCTTTTATTGATGCTAACTTTATCCTGCACACATACCTGTAAAATTAAAGTACATTAAGGAATCACCTGCTTTTAACCTCATAACTTCTCTTGTACTGTAGATCCAGTTGTAGAGAAGATTTTCCAGTAATTATAGAGTTGCCGGCGTGATCCACAAGCCAGTGTACTTGAATTGAACCCGAGGCTGTTTCGTATGGTATGCCAGTAACTCGGGACTTGTGTGTGAATGAGAAACACATCGTAAATGGCTTTGTAAAACCACTAAGGTTAATGGTCTAATGGTTACACTCTGTACAGTTTGAGGGGAGAATGTAAAATATAATACATAAGCTTTTAGCTTTATTTTTAAGACATGCATCCATAAAGGTATTTAAGTTATCTCCCTATTGAGTCTGCCATTTGTAGTAGAGCTTCACTAATATGGATACCAATGTGCATTTAGAAAGCAGGGCCAGCACAGATACCTCAGCAAAAAATCTTTAGAGGTCAAGAGGTGTATTTTAAAATTCTGGATTCCTTGTTGTTGAATGTAAACAAGTGTTCAATAGTGCCTAAAAACCTGGATAATCACGTGAACTTTTGTTTTTAGAATTGGGACTCAAATTTCCAGGTGGGCTAAAACACACACTGAGATTCATATAAAGACAATGCCACTCTGTCGAGGTTAAACGCACAGAAACACGTGTGCAAAATGGTGAGCGGATCATGCCGTCGAGTTCACTTTGCCACTGCTCACAGTAAGTGATGAAGTTCAGTGAAATAAATCTACTTCTGCAGCGAAGAGAAAAGAAGAATGGAGACTCCAAGTAAACATGCATATTAGATCACTCAGCGGTGGTTAGGCAATTGAATTGATTATACAAATTCCTTTTAATTAATCTAAGTTTGAATAAATTAAAAAAATATTAAATGCCTTTCCCATATCATCAGGGGATGTGAGAAGCTTTTTCAGAGAAGTACAATATACTGTGCAGCGATGAACTACAGCTGTCAGTTTTTCTTAATCATAATATTTCAACTCTCCTGACATTCGGAGTAAAAATAAACACATTCAAGGAAGCTGAGTGGCAAAACCCAGCTGTTTTGGCAGGATATCTCCAAGATATAAAGCAGGGAAAAAAATGCACAGTGTATTTGGAAGTACAAATCTTGGCATTTCAGTGGTGTACTGATGGATTCAAGTAGGTGGTTTTTTGGAAGAATGCTCTCCCACTTGGCATGCTTCACAATGAGTGTGGAATTATACTCGACTTGCCAATTGTTAAAAATGTGATTTCATAAGTCAAATAAGATGGGTAAATCAAGGTCAAGAGTAATTTTCAAACCGACAGATACTTAACATTTATTCAAAAGCAATGGATTCACTGACAAACTGTGTGCTTATGGTTGTTTTTGTTTGTTGACTTGGCT